TCTTATCTTCTTCTTGTCTTTAACTGAAAAACACAATAAATTCAATTCTAAATAGCAAAAGAAAGAGGCAAATGAGTATAAAGTGGTTGAAGTGCCAGCAAAAGCCAAAGTTCTTACTTTTAGGGTAGCCAATCCTGTTGGGCAAAATCAATGATTTATAAACTTTTGAGTCTACTTATCAATGTGATGGTACTGTAATAGCAAGTATTGCACCTCTTTTTATGAAGTGAAATATGTTGGTACACTTTGAAAAAAAAGTTGAAGATGCTACCCCTTACTTTTTCTTCTATTGCGATGTTGTTGTTGTTTTTTTTTGAAGAACAACCTGATTTTTTCTCCCAGATATCACACGAAATTACAATGTAAAAAAATACTGTTATCCGAGTATAATCCGAAAATCAAAGATTTCACGATTCGGATCATGTCTTGATCCCCAAATAATCTAACATTCGTGGCATTATATCAACAATGCAAGAAAAATTCGAATTTATCAGTTGCGAGTCTAACTACCCATAAATTCCGCATGATATCCAAAAGTCGAACATTCGAAATTTTCAATTCTCAATATTACCTTCGATTGTTCGAAATTTCGAATTCCACCGGGTAAAGCTATTTTCCTGAAAGAAGTTCACGTAAGTGACAGTTGCATCTTGCATTTTCCGATTTCCTTGATCTTCGATTCTCTTGATTCTAGGCAGCGAGAATGAAGACAAGAACAGAAGTTGGTAAAAGTAATGTAGATGAACAATGATGCTGCAAGTAACTTATTGCTCACCGATAAACGGACTTGATAATGAAATTTGATTTAGCATAGTAGGAACTTTTTTGCTGCAATTTCTTGTCCCAAACGAAAATTCAAGCTACGACTGGTCCAGCTAGTACATCCTAAGCTACTCTCCGACATATTTTCAAAAATTCGCAACAACTCTTGAAATCGATGTTAATTATGGGATAAGTGACAGTTAAGCAAAAACGACAACTGAATGACATAGAACTCATGAAGAACTTCGTGCAAAGCGTACAAGTTGTTTACAAACTATTGAATCTGATTCGAAAAATCTGGAACACTGAGATAGAATGATATTATATCATTCTTTGGCACTCAAGATGCCATGACCTACAGTTGCCCTGTCAAGAGGTAGTATATCATTCACTCCCCCTAGTTCACCAGGCATGAATTTGCCTCTCGTGATCCTGTCTCCAACTCTTCGGACTTCATGCTATTTTCATTGAGCTATCGATCGCTTAGTGTTCAATTCAAGACGAGGCAGAAATCAAACAAAGACATAGGCTCTTTTCAAGCTTCGCTCGCATTTGTACTTTTAACTCTAGATAGCCTCTTCCAGCAACGAGTGACAAGTGACCCCATAATGCAACAGGGCGCGATCTAACAAAACTGTCAAGAGTTCACCATATGGAGATTGTTTACGCAACCTATCGCCTCACACGCGGACACGAGAGTTTGTTACGTAACGTATTCTGCTCGATGTTGTGTCTCGCACTTTCGTTTCCTCCAACGCGAGCGCTGCCTTCGTTCAATGGAAAACATCGCACCGTTATCGTTAGTGCGATCTTGCTAACATCGTCTCTTCAGCTCTTCTTTTCTTGCTTCCGTTGTTTGCGAAGAATTGTCTTCCCTAATCATCTGCATTTGCATTGCTAATTCTCGAATCTGACACTTTGTCACAGTTCTCATTGCTCGCTGTAGCAAATTAGGGCGAGCTACACTTGCTTTGATCCGGCTTGTGATCCGGATCCATTGCGGCTCGCTTGCTTATGTAGACCGCAGAGCAAGGGTGAAATGATTTTTGGATTACTAAGACAATGATGATATCAAAGCAACTGCTCTAGTTCCAAAAGCATCAGAGAAACTATTCCGTCTTATCCGTGCACGCAGTTTAGCGAGGTGGATCCAACATCAAATGCAATTCTGGCACCAATCATTCCGTCGGCTAATGTTCGGAGCTGTCTTTCTAATCATTTGTCTCAACCTATCCTCTTCATCACTCACGCGCGCCGTTTATGAAAATATTTTATCGGCTTCTGTTGTTTCCAATACTGACCTTGTAATCATTTGTAATTATTTGCAAATATGATCGAATTTGTTTCGTCATTAATTGCCATAGTTTTTAATTGGTATTTCCATTTGAAGAGAATTTGTACAGGCTATACTTTCGCTGCGATCCGGATCCACTGCAGCTGCGTGTTTATGTAATATCGAGAAGTAAAGGATAAATGGTGATTTTTGATTTCATTGAGTTTTTGCTAATGATACTATAACAACTGCTCTGGATAGCTTAGATTTGAAGATCCCTTCTCAGTTTGCACGCGCAGTTTAGCGAGTTGGATCCAACCACAGTTTGAACCCCACAGACGCAATCATAATCTTGTGTGATTGCGCGTTCACTCAGACATAATTAATGACTTTGTTTTGCGTATAATCCTTAAGTGATACCGCTCTGAAGGGTGTTGCCGATAGTGTAAACAAAGCTCAAATGAGCCGCATAACATATAAACATATCGAGGATATCGGATTTCCAAGTATACACAATTAGAGCTTCATAAACGAATTCTTCTGTAAGTCCATATCCATATTCAACACCAGAAGTTTGCAAGTCGTTTGTTCTTATTTATCATCGCAGGTTGCTACCAGCTTTCTATATATCTTTTAACTTAACAACGACAAAGCGCCGAGAAAAATAAGCTTTCTGAAGTCAAAATAAGTCATTAGAATTGCTCAGAGGCCGTTATTTGACGCAGTCAACCCGTAACTTGCACATCTTCCAAGGATAGCATCACGTGCACAGCTGTGACTCCATTGCACCGAGTTACTTCTTGTCGTGCATAAAAATCATGCGCTAATGTTTGCAAAAACACTGCGCCTTCTTCACAGTGTAGCGCTAGGTCCCGACACGCTAGTATTGATGCACATTTCTACCGTGTGCGAAATATCGACAACATCTGCAATCCGTTCTTTATGGACATGTCGTCATCACTCTTATTGTCTTGGTCATCATCATTCCATTTGTTCTGCATTTTCGCATCATTTATATCACCGTAGATTTACTGGGGTACTTTCCAGCCCGCAAAATATGGATGAATTATATGTTTCATGTTATGTAAGTCGCAGCGACCCTGAACGTATGGGCGCAAGGCTTAGTCAGAAAATCAATGCATTGGAAAGGGGGTTCGGATAAGAAGGAAACCCAAGAAAATGGCTGCAGGCACTGCATGCGCGACGCATACTGCCGCGGCGGCCGCGTGCCAGAACTGTGCCGTCACCTGGGGTCAAGTATGAACTAAGCTCTGAATGGGCTTCCGTCTGCGGTGTAGGATTGAGGTGGATCTGCGGAGGATTTTTGATTGTCGATTATTGTACTATACCATATTCTTGATTTTATTTTCATTAATCCCTTGATTTAGCTTTTTCGGTGGTGAAGACGGAGATCTGTTAGGCACCGTCCATCCAGATTCTCGCCTCCATGTTTTTGCCGTTCCATGGGCTTCTCATATCCCTGATTCCGAGCACGAAGTCAAGAATCCGCCAAAAGTCAACACCCCGACAAAGGGAAAACGCGAGGCGGTTGCGAAAAGTTGGTTGGGCGGGCTTTACTTGAGGGGGCGTTGCGCCTAGAAGCCTCTCTCCCTTCTTCATTCCATTGCGTTTTTTCGCTTCCAAAGCGACATTTTGCTCGCGATGGGCACTGGCATGACAGGAGGCCTTAATCATATATTTTTTAGAGCTTAAAGGCACCGTTCACCCATGGGGTCGATGAGATTTTGATGCCTAACAGTAGTGGGGCCCCCAACTGTATGCCTGTTCAACCCGCGCCGGCAAAAGTTGCTTCCGAAGCTAGAAAATTGCTTCGAAAATCGCTCGGATGACAGATTCGCCACGTTGGCTCCTCCCCTTTGATGGGCGTGACGTTCGTCCCGCCCATCCATGCGCGTCCGACCAATCACCGTACCGAAGAAATCGCTCTGCGGGTTCTGAAAACGGAGGTTTTTCGTGGTTTTCGCGGATTTTCGGCCTGATATTCGGAATCAGGGGTATGAGAAGGCCTGGAACGGCAAACATGGAGGTCAAAATTTTGGGTGAACGGTGCCTTCAAGGCTCTAACTTAGGGAGGACGATGCCGCTAATATGCCAGCGGGTAGGCCAATTTGCTAGGTCCAGTTGAACACATGTTGCAAGATTTATTTCCATCCCCAGCGACTCGCCGCAATAGACGGCGTTGTAAACCCATGACACCTATTTGTCTAGTGGATCTGGCGATTAAGAAAGTGCCCGGCGATGCCGACATGTCGCGGAAAAAACTGCTAGGCAAACGTGCCAGTGAAAGGTGGTCATGGCGCGGAAAGTTGCACTCTCTTGTCCATTTTTTACGCGCAAATGTTGTCGGCAGCGCAAAAACACTATAACGTTACATTCTATTTACTAGTGTATAAGCTCGGAGATCCAACATATTGGGCAGCACCTTTGCACAAGGAGTTGTTCGGGGGAACATTAGTGGGCCGCGCCGCTTCTGGCAGCACATTTTGTTAAATTTCATGTTCTTATGCGTTTTTCTCACTTATTATACCTTCGTTTTGGTCATGATTTCTTGTAAAGTTATCTTCTTCTTAACATGCCCTTTACATTCTTTGTTTGATTGCCATTACCGTATACCGACGTAATTCAGCAATACTAGCCAGCAACCAAGTATTAAGGCACTTCTGTTATCGATAATTTACTGCTTGAATGGAAATGTGCCAACAAGATCCAGACGTGAACCAATCAGAATATGCAGACCGCTGCAAATTTGCGGCCGAAATGCGCGAAAGTTTCGCTGATAATCTTGGCAACATCGGGAAATATCCACTGGAAGCTTAATTTTGCCTGATAAAACTCCCATAAGCTGCAGATCTGCTTAGAATTTATCAACGGAAGATTTTAAACGGTTTTGATGTCGATCTAATTCCGTCATAGCGATTTTCACCTTTTTAGTGTGGAAAACAATGTTTCAGAGATGTGATGATGACCTCAGTTGTAGAAGAGAATCATAGGATAGATGAAGAAAAAAAGACAAACTCTCTAGGTATGTTCTACATCTTTCAGAACTTACATTTTTTGTTCGGTCTACTTTGTTATTATTTTTTGCTTACTGAATCAAACATATGTGTCTGACGCAGACCGCACTCAGTTTGCGGTTACTGAAGCGATGCGGTTCCAGAAAGTTTATACTCCATCATGTTTTTCTTGTACTATTGAGAGCAGGCAAAAGTTCGCAATTGCATTGCTAAAAGTGAATCGTCTGCTTGTCTGCGTCAGTAACAACCATAGTCTGGGTCCTGAGACCACTCCCATACGATACCGCAACACAATCAATTTGCTGCCTTTGAGCGTTGGCCTTTGAGCACGAAACTTCATATGCTTTGAAAAAGACGCTTCAAAGGCAGCGCAAAGGCGCGAAAGGCACGCGAAGCGGTTGGGCGTAGGGGAAGAATACGTTGAACGAACGACCATGTTACAGGCATTTGTAGCTTTCCCAACGTCCCAAAATCCATCAACACTATCATAACTCTTTTTTGCCCTCAAGAATAATTTTTCAGATCTCCCTACTTCACTCGATGATAGTGATGATCCTTTCCTACGCTGTCTTGAAGCTGCCCAGGCCCGCATCAAGGTAGCACCCCCGGAACCTCCGAAAGCCAGTAAGCGCTCCTATCAGGTTTAATAGGTTTTTACCGTAATCATAAATACAGAGGTTGGTTTTGGACTGCTGCCATACTTGAGGCAGAAGAAGCTGCATGCAGGCTTAATCCCCCAGCCAGATGATTTCACATTGGAATGGTAATTTATCTGTTGAAATCGCTTGCGCTATACAGTCGCTTATACAACGAATCTTCTGTAATTGCTTTGCCATATCATCTGAGAAAAGAGTTTTCAGCCTCAGAAATACTCCAGAGGGCCGTGGCAAACCCCCTTTGAGGCCGCCTTTGCCCATTCCTTTGGAAGGTGATGGTTGTTTGATCATTTTTTGTAGCCCAATGATTATTTCATAGCTCGATGAGTTTTCTATGAATAGCCCAATGATTTTTTTTTTCTAGAAAATGAGAAGAAGACTGAAAACGGTGTCGTAGACGAGGACTTCTCGGAATTAAACAAAAGTGATGGAGACGATGTGGCGAAAGCGAAATGGTGAGAATGTTTGTGAACCTGAAAATTGCCTGAATGCTTCGAAATAGCTAATCATAGCTAGCAACATCCGTAGGGACTTTTTTGGTGAAAACACGGACATATTAGCGCCGTCATTTTTTTTTACTAAGTTTTACTATTTTCAGCAGCAAGCAGTTCTCGGTGCTTGAACCAAAAGGTGAGAATTGCCCCATGTTTCGTACCTCAAGCAATCGAAGGCTTTCCAGGAAAATTATCAGACCCTGACTTGCGTGCGCACATCGCTAAGCAATCCAGCTTATTCGCAGCCAAGTGTAGAGAACGGAAATGGATCATTGAAGAAAGGCCACTGTACGAGGTTTCTGAGGAAGATCTGGAAGCGAAAATGGAGAAACAAGTCGAGAGACTTGAGGAATTGCAATGTAATTATTCCCATTTCCAAAGTTCCCAACATCCTTTTTCGAAATCCGCTTCATCTTTAGCTTTTGCCTTTCAACACAAAGGAACTTTGCAAGATTTTGCTCGAGCAGTGTTTGATAGGCGTCCTTTTTTGGACCTAGATTGGTAAGTCCTAGCTGTCTCCCTTACAGTGTTTCGATTGATTGATTTCACTCAATGTGGATATGTTATAGGGAAAATGTCGTCGACTCTTGCCTAAATACGTATGCTACTTATCGGATGGATTCCAAAGAGACGATCTCAAGAAAGGTCTACAATAGCTATGGTGAGTGTTGGTCGCTCAGAACATATGCCTATGAAACTCATATTTCTTGTTCACGATTTTTCTTGCTCAACTATCTGCACAGAATCAGTGAATGTGCTGTTTTAGAACGGTAATATAGCTTGACATTCTTGCAGTAAATAGTCTTCGCGAGAAGTTGAAATCCAGACCCGAGTATACACCTCCTCCTGTCATCATACCTACTGAAAGCGCTAGTTGCGCAAAGGATGCCGAGATCGTAGAGGATGTATGTTCCACAATTTGTTGGTTGCGAATTTATGGACTTTTGATTTCAGAATGTTCCAAGATCTCCTGATCCTGAGCCTGCTACCCCTCTCAAGGAGCCACCTGTGAAAAAGCTTCAAACCCCTAAACCTCTATTCACATCGACCCCAGTTGCACCGGCACATCCTCCGCCTCCCCGAAGGACCATCGTACCTCCCGTAAGTTTCACCTTATAATCGGCTTCTTTGTGTCAACTTTTCGTCTAAAAAACAGATCATAGCGCTGCTTCGCTATCTTCTTGTTCATTTGATTGCATATAAATTTACAGCCACTACCTCACCGAAAACCTGTGGAGTGCAAGTCCTCTTCCACCTCAAAAGCGTGAGTTTTTCATTTTCATTCTATGTAGTTTTGCTTGCCATCTATCTATCACTCATTGGGAACACAACGCAAAGGCTACGCCTTTAGACCTCGGGCATTGTTCACGCGATTTCATCGCCTCGCGATTCGTTGCATGTATATTCTCCTGCCATTTCGGCTGTGATAGTTTCCCGACACGATTAGTCGTGACTAACTATTACAGCCGAAATGCAAGATGATCGGCATGAAATGAAATCGTAACGTTTTATTGTTGGGAGAACCGCGAGGCGATGAAATCGTGTGAACTATGCGTGAGGTTGTGCGACTATAATACTGTCGCTACGATGGTGGCATAGTTTGAAGAAGCTCTATAGAAGCAGAGAATGTCAAAACTGTTCCAGTCCCTCGCATGATTTGGTGTCTGGCATCATCAGCTCTATGGATGAATTCTCCGCCAGGAATCCACCAAAGATTCCCGATATAGAAGAAGATGAGGAGGAGCAGGTGCGCGCTTCGTTAGATGCGGCAGCAGCTAGAGTAGGAGAGGAAGAAACTCAGAACGCGAAAGTCTCAGACGTGGGTTGGAAGTTACACTGGCTCGCTTCTACTTATTTTTTGAACAACCTTTCAAGAAATAACCTTTCCCTATGTGTAGCTTCTTTCACCCTTGACTCAAGCGATGGCTCCTGCATAACTTCCATGTATGACAGTAGCCAACACTAAGTTTCAGCTTTTTGCCATAAGGACCGAAGTGCCTCTCGGGAAGTTTTGCGAGGAGGATTTACTTCGAAATGGCCCATCCGCAAAGCGATTTTGCTGTGAGTTTATATGGTATCTACCTTTTGAATGCTTAATTGACGTACATACTGAAAAATTTAATATCAGATGATGGTACTCCAACTCCAGATCCAACGGCTAGGTATGTGTACTGTTTTTTTTTGTCAAATGATTCAAATTTTTCCAGTGAGCATTCTCCTTCGTCTCCTATCGGCACTGCGTCTACCGTATTTGTCGGTGTGACTAATGTAGCTGTGACTGATGTTGCTGAGGATAGGGTAATTTCAGTTTATTGCTATTTTTTTCATCTCGATTCTCTTCCATTAAACGCCATTTTAGACTTTGAAAACATTTGGCCAAACGTTCAGATTAACTTGCTCCTGCACCTCACATTTTTTAATCATGTATCTTATGTAAATCGCATGTCCTAGCCACCTGTCTATGCATCTTCATCGTCAACGCCTTCCGCGTCGTCTGAAGAACAGCTCAAGCCTGTCGCAGATTACCACAGAACTCCAAAACAAGTTTCCTTCAGGTATTGGCAATATTTCGACTCGCAAAGATGCAATGTCTTTTTTGATTTTAGTGAGCAAGTTTTATATCAAGAAGAAGAGCCTCCAGCGAATATACCCAATCGCGTGGAGCCAGCGACAAAACTCGAGAATCAAACTGGACCTAGCAGGTGCACATAACTTTCCTCGTTTTCTACATATTGTCAAGTTCACTACGTTATCTGTCTTGGTTCAACTCTCTCTTTAGGATTCCTACGGGTATACTGAAAAGAAATGTAAATTACCCTGGAGCTGATCCCTATAAATACTGTGCTGAGAAGTACGGTAGAGGTCCCTTTCCGTAAGTTTTGAATTGGTAGCTGTTGAATAACCCCGAATGTTGAATGATCTTGCAGAGCTCCTAAGATCAAACTACATGTTTCGGACCGCCACATCGAGGATCCCTACGTTTCCTTTCCCTCCCAGTAAGTTATCGTCACAAGATTCATTCTGATTGAAGTACAGTTTTGAATCAAGGATTAGAATTTTCAGGAAGGATGTTACACAATCTTCCAGAGGTCCGCATTCGGAGGAGGAATTCCGTTCGACCTTCTATTCTCTCCACGGTAATCTGCTTGTTCATGATTAGTGTATTACAAGTGATTTCATTTGATTTTAGAGTATGTCGCTAGCCGCAACGCGAATTCTGATTTCAAGAAGCTTGGGTAGTTACACGTGACTTTTTTCAATCATCCATATGTTTTATTGTTTTTAGCCCTACTTTTGTTGAGTGGAAATTAATTCCGCTTGCTCGACCAAAGAAACAGCGTAAGGAATTTTTTAGTTGCAGAGTCTCATCACTGTTTCTATTTGATATTTATCTTTAGCTCTCAAAGCATTCCCGCTAGGAGCCTGTCCGCGTGATCCCCGCTTGGCTGAAATCGTTCCCAGGTGTGTGATATATATATAGAGACCGCCATGAAGTTGCGGATAAGGCCGACTTCCTTATCGTTCATTTTCGGATGGAAAACAAAGATTAAAAAATGATTGGATTGGTTGTGATGATAGAGCTCAAAGAGCCACAACACACTGCGCTTCCTGGGAAATATGTATCATAAAATTTTGAAAATCTTTTTTTAAAAAGTCCGAAAATGGACGCGTCACATGGACGCGGACAGTAATTCTTCGAATGCGAAAATTTTCTTTTGGGTCTTCTCTTGGAGCAAGAACAGAAGTTTTCCGGACGGATAAGCCTACTATATTGTAGAGCTCCTCGAGGACAATAATTGTGTAGTGATTATCTCCAACTCGAATTTTATTTTGCTTTTTTTCAAGAATTAACTTCTAATTCCCTTCTACAAGCCAAATTTTTCACATGGAAACCTATTCAAGACATTCCAACAAAGCTATTTGGATAAAATGGATGCTGCTTGCCATTCCCTATGCATCGGACGTAGCTGGTGAGTTTCTTTGCTGAAAATGGTTCTTGACAGTGCGTGCTTATGACTCCACCTGCACCTCACTGGCTTGCACCGCTCTGCAGGCTTGTAGCTCAGCCGTCAGACACTCTACGAGCCTGCACTTAGGCTCATTCGAAAGGGCGTGACTTCCTCGACACGAAGGGATGCAAATGAATTGAGTTTGGGAAGTCCCAGAGATTTTACGGATGGGATGGAAAAGCGCAGCTTCAGTTGTATTTTAAGGATTTTTCAGATAAAGTTGAAGAGAGCACCTTTCGCTACCAGTTCTATCCTGGAAGTTCAAAACTGTCAACTTTATTATAGTAGATCCATTTTGAAGCTGTAAGACTGTTCTGGTGTTGATAAGAAGTTTTCACTCCAATCACCCCTAAGGGCTGCATGCACTAACATTCCCGCTGGGGAGGGGATTGCAGCTTAAAAGGAAGCTTCATATTCTAAAGCTCCAGATATCTGGATTTCACGTTGTGTACATATCCGTAAGTATTCCTACTACCCTACACTATGAACATGTTGAACAGGAGCGAGAAGCTATACGAACCGCATTTTCCAGCTTTTGTATGATCCCTGATGATCCCCGGCGCTTTTCTTTAAAGTCATTTTTCTTTCTCCGAAGTTGACGAAAACCTTCCAAAGTTGTACTGAACATCTAACACAACAGTGTTAAGCATGTTGCTAATGAGAACAAATGAGTTTATGAAAAGTCGAATTTTTCGGTAAACCTCAAATTTCGACCTGTGGATCATCGAAAATTTCATGACTTCAAAATATCATTTGTTCTTATCAGCAACATGCTTAGCACTGTCGGGTTAGATAATACGCACAACTTTGGAGGTTTTCCGTTAACTTCGGAGAAAGAAAAATGACTTTAAGGAAAAGCGCCGGGGATCATTGGGGACCATGAAAAGCTGGAAAATGTGGTTTGTACAGCTTCTCGCTCCTCTTCAACATGTTCATATGAAGGGTAGTAGGAATGCTTACGGATAGGTACACAACGTGAAATCCAGGTAACTGGAGTTCGAAACATAAAGCTTTCTTCCAAGCTGCGATCCCCTCCCCGCGGCGATGTTAGTGCATGCGGCCCTAAGGCTGCGCTTTTTCACCCCATCCGTAGAATCTCCGGGATTGCTCAAACTGAACTTATTTGCATACCATCTTATCGAGGTCACGCCCTTTCGAATTAGCTTGAGCACAGGCTCGTAGAATGCCTGGACGCTGAGCTACAAGCCTGCAAAGCGGTGCAAGTCAGTGGTGAGGTGCAGGCAGGGTCATGTGCACGCACTGTCAAGAGTCATGTTTAGCCAAGAAACTCACCAGCACACGTCTGATGCATAGAGGATGGCAGAGTGCATTCAATTTATCCGAACAGATTTGTTGGGATGCTTTGATAGGTTTCCATATGAAGAAATTTGCTTTGAAAAAGAAATTGGAAGTTATTCTCCTTAAAAAGCAAAAGAAAATTTGAACTTGCGTTTTTTTGGAAGTAACCACTACCTGATTGTTGTCCTCGATGAGTTCTATGATATAGTATGCTTACCTGTCCGGAAAACTTTTGTTTTTGCTTTAAAAAGACTCAAAATTTTCGCGTTTGAAGAATTATTGTCCGCGACGTTGTGACGCGGCCATTTTCGGACTTTCTTCTAGAAAAAGATCTCTAAAATTTTTAGAATACATGTTTTCCAGGAGGCGCAATGCGTGGGTTGTAGCTTTTGAAGAGCTCTATCAAATCATGCAGTCCATTTTTTCATACTTGTTTTTCATCCGAAAATGAACGATGAAAAAAGGAGGGCGACTTGTCGGCAACTTTCTGTCGGTCACTGTAGCTCTCGCATTTCCCCTCTACCGTATTCAGTAGTATTTGTTAAGAGAGGTGGTAGAGGCTGCGAATAGAGCCGCTGAAGGAGGAAGCGAAGAAGAGTACATGGCGCGAACAAAAGGTGCGCTTTTATGTGCCTTCTTCGTCGCTTTGGTATTCAACGGTGTTTTAGCCGTACTTTCCAAAAAGTACCGGAAAAACCCCATCAGATGCTTTGAGGATAAGGGTGTTTCAAATTTGTGCATTCTGCTGGAGCTTAGACCCTACTGTCGTCGCCCTTCGTACCCGCCGAACAGATGGAAGCTTACGGTAGGTACATATGAAGTATTGACTGAGTTTCATTTTGAATTGAAGGCTGAGGAGCAAGGGAGATGGAATAAACAGAAGGAGAGATCAGTGGAGGAGCTGGAGTGGATAGGTAAGCTTTGAATAATAATGTTTTTGTTTAATCTTCTCAATTAAGAAAGAAGAGTGCTTCCCAAGTGGGGTACTGCCAATCCAAAACAGTTGATCTACCCATTCGGGAAGACGGAAGGATTGTATTGGCCGATAGTGCAACCGTATGATGCCATCAATCTTGCAAACGAGAAGCAGTAAGATATTTTTTGGAAGTTTTTTTGGCTGTTTTTCTATCTTTGCATTTATTCAAGCTATGAGAGAGAGAGAAAGAGAGAGAGAGAGAGAGAGAGAAGGCGAATCATGAACTCTTCCTGTTGCAGTGGATGAAGCTATCTTATTTTGATCATGTCGAGTTCCTTTTTCTTTTTTCAAGAGCGCTATTTACAGCGTCAACTGTGCGGATACCAAAAATCAGCTCGTCTGCTTGACCGAATATAGCTTCGCCCTGAAGCAACCGGTAAGTCCTCCAGCTTCAAAGTTCTTTCCCTGATATGACAATTCAATTTATGCAGCTTTTGTGCGGTCGTGATGACGGCTATCACTATCAGAGGTACATGAGAGCAGTCCAGGCTGAAGAGACCCGTACGCAGCTCCCTGGCCGCTTTCGAAACCGCATTGGTTTCGTGCGCGTTTTCTCTGAACAAACAATGTGAGTGTGCTAAATGATGCCTATTCTTCCTTACTTCTGTTTTTTCTTTCAGGGAAGACGCTCGCGAAAAAGACCAAGCGCTTCAGGAAAAAGAACACGCGTGGAACAAAAGACTTTCAGAAGAAGCAGATGGCATCAATTTTCTCCTTGCTGAAAACGATAGCATGTTACAGAGAGGTGCGGTGTCAATGCCTGTGTCCCGAGAATAATTTCAACCTTAATTGCAGCTTATGAACCGAAATTTATATGGATCAAGGATCATGTGGATTTCAACATAACGGATTTCTATTCGCCAAAGTCTGAATTGATTTTTGGCGGTTCAAACCTACGAATTCCATCGAGAGGAACAAGAGGACCCCTCAAAGTATATCATTTACCAGGCTACCTTTAGAGTCGCCCGTGCCAGCGCCGTGCCAGCGGACTCGTCCTGGCACAGCGCTGGAACAGCTCTGGCACCCTCAACTGTCTATGTCCAATAAAATTCTAATAATGAGCTTTGAATATGTTTAGGTGCCCAGAAACTGGATCGAGGTGCCGTTAGAACAGTACATGTCATCAATCCAGCGAAAGGATTATCTTGTAGAGTACACTAATTTCCGCAACCGACTGGCGCATGAATTCAGGCCTAGGGTAAAGGTACATAGTCAGTTTTCTGTTTTGATTTTCATCATACTCGATGCAGCCGACCTTTGATGCTTATGACGATTTGGTGCAGTATCATCTAAGGGCCATTGAAGCGATATTCGTACATCAAGTGAGTGCCCCACTATTATTCAAGGCTAGTTTTTGATCATTATAATTTTGAAATAATAATAATTTTGATAATTCATTGAGTGCCTTTTACATTAGCGAAAAAGTTAGAACCTAGAATGCAATACTTGTCAAAATGAATGTTCAGACGGGGCTCAAAGGTGTTTGCCCCACTTCTTTCCTTAATGAGCGAATTCTGCAAAAGGCGAGGCAGCGCAACCGCGAGTTAGCAACAGAGGTAGGTGTTCAAGAAACAATTCATAGTAGATATCAACATCCAATTTGTAGATGAAATCGGATAAAATCTCTCTGAAGCGTCTCAAGGAGTTGTGCGAACTCCAGGATTGGGAATTGGAATATTGGACAATAATCTGGGATAATTTGGCCAATATGTACAAAGATGCTCGTAAGTTCAGTTTGATCCTTTTTCATATTGTAGAGATAGAGGGGGGGGGGGGGGAGGGATTTTTTAACTTCGGAGCTTACGCTTCAATCGTGCAAGCCAAAATTCAAAGTGCTGTTTGTATTAAGGAAAATAGAGATACATCTTGATTGCAAAGTGAACATTCTTCTCCTTCATCATAAAAGTCATGAAATAACCCAATAGACTTTGGTTTATTCCAGCGCCGATATCTCAGCTCAAGCTCGACAACTACATAAACAAAGCATTTGAAAATTCTGTAAATATAAATCAGCGTGGTGCTTATTTTAACAGGTATGTGTTCCTCACTATCACATATCGGAAATGGATACAAAATGTCCGAATTCAGGTTTTGGGAGATCGTCGAACACAATCAGATCTCGTAAACTACGGTGTATTTTCGTTATATCATCGGTGCTCTCATTTCGTGCCTTACCCCTTTCCGCTTTAACATTGCCATAATAATAACATTGTTACAGGTGTACAGAAGTGCTTTAATAATTGTATTGTATTTGTTATTGATGTTCTGAGATTCTGCTAGAGTTTTAGATTTAGCCCGTGATTTAGGATATTGAAGTTGCTTTGCTGAAGTTCTCATTTTTATGACCTCATTAATTTTTCTGTTGTAACCGTTTAATGCACATGAAAAAGTTCTTTTGAACTGTTGTTGAGATTCATAACAAGCTACAATGTTTTCAAACAACTTGCAATATATAAAACATCATTTAAAACTACTGAACTAGAACGTTGGCTACGGATCACATTTACCATAACCATAACCTTTTCCAACTCCTTCCTCCACTATCAACTTCTTGTTTCAATTCAAGTGGTTTGTCTAATGAAGCGGCTACTTCTCCTAGCTCTTGCTTCATCTGTATAGAATACATAAAAAGGTAAAATACGCCGAAAATGCAGTAAAAACAAACCTGCGCCATCCGCTCACTTAGTTTTGTCCACACTTCACTAGTTTTCCATAGTCGCCGACGTTTCTCAGCGTCTTCCACAATCTCATTGAATGGTTGTTCGTGTCGCTCACGGCTGAAAGAATGTTCATGCAACGACTGAATCTTTTTAAGAGAAAAACTCTTCCTTACTCAATAAAAAGTCCAGTTGCGTCTTCCATAGCAGGATCAGCTAAAGCGTAGAGCACTGGGCGTACCGCTTTCTCCACTCGTCGTTCACCCATTCCAAAACTGACTATTCGGAGCAGCCATCGGCTCAAAAAGAAGGTTTGACCATCCATTTGTCTCGATAGATTTGACTTTGTCCTTCCAGGGTCGGCTACCGTGACTGTGACATTGGTATCTAGAATAGTACAACTACAGTCATATGAAGGCACTGGGAAAAAGGGTCGAAAATTGCAGAGATATAGATGATAGTATAACCGCCTGACATCTTTCTCATTGTTAACTCAGAGAAATCCCCCATAAAATTGCTAAATTCTGACATTCTTCATTTTCAAGAAAAGAAAAAGAGACGTTCTCCACTCTCAATCTGAAGACCGCGATAAGCCGCAAAACATGACATATGATTGGCTCCCATTCGTGTGGCGGGCTGCGGACTTCCCTGATTTTGAGGAAAAGCTTAACGAGAGTACGAAATAGAATGCCATAACGTGGAGGTTTGACAAGTTTATCCTGAAAATCAGGGAAGTCCGCAACCCGCCTCCATACGAATCTTAGCGCCAATGATACCTTTCAGTCTCTCTGACAATTCCTTAGCAAACATGGCTGCGGCAAGTTTACTCTGTTTGTAAACCTCAAACCCATCGTATTTCTTCCGATATTCTGCATTGAGATCATCAAAATCAATATCGCATCTGTAAAGTACAAACTGAGAAAAAACCATCAGATTCGAAGATCCTTACTTTCTATTGATTATATTCGTGTTCAGAAACACTATTCTAACACGATGATCTTGAGCAAGAAGTTTTTCGAGTAGTAATCCAGTAAGTAAGAAGGCACCAAGGTGATTTGTAGCTAGTGTGCGTTCAATGCCATCCTAAAAAAATAATTTATAAAGTGCAGTGTGGGAAAAAGGAGGCGGGCAACATTGTGAAGGAGCATGGCGAGAGCCGCTCCTACATATGAAAACAATCGGATTTTCGCAAGATTTTAGCCCTAGACTTTTGCTCTGGAAAAAATAAATCGCGCTGGAAATATTTCTATGCAGCTATTTTCAGTTTTTACAATCTCATGCAGTCATTCTGATCATTTGCGAAATAGCTGCCTGCATGATTTAATAGTCAAATACATCATATATACCGCATTATGCAAATTGCGCCTATTTCGAGAGACCTTCACGCTCACATTCTCCGTGGAAACAAATATGGTACTGTCACTGTACATAGAAAACAAGACGTGGTTTACAACAAAGTTAACCAAAAAAAGCTTTAGAAAATGATCGCAAAAAATGCAGAATGAGAATACCTTGTTTACTTTTCGTTTGGCATCCATCATAGCAGCATTATGTACAACTCCATCTATTCGATCTAACTCGTATTTACCTAGAAGAAATGTTGAAGAATCAAAAACAGGGATCGTGGTAAGACTGACCTTTACTAGCTTTTTGTACAAACGTTCGTACACTGTCGAAATCTTCGAGATCACATTGTCTACAGTATACTTGCTTATTTCGAGTGCTCAAGACAATGTCTCGGCGCACTTGTATGCATTTTTCACGATTTCTGAATCAACATTAATCATGGACTAAAAGACTGGTGTGATTATTGACTTGCCTGCAAGCCATTATGACTCGCGCGTTCCTTTTCGCTAACTCTTCTACTGTAGCCTGAATCATACTTTTTGGTGGAGATATTAGGAAATCATAAAAAATACCTGCCCTATTCCCGAAGTAGCGCCGGTAACGATATAAGTTTTCCCAGCTAAGTTTTCATGTAAATCGTATTTTGTGCCAGATTGAGTAGAGCTAAACAGCTTTATTCTTGTTGGCCGATATGATACAAAAAATTGATAAGCAGAAAATGAATGGAGGAGATAATGATCAAAATATGGTAGAAGAAAAAGATAATTTACTTACTCCCAAATGTGATATAATCCATAAGCAATTCCAAAGCCAGAAAATCCTAGAGACCATGGAGAAGTGAGACCTTTTATGAAACGACGGGCAGCCATCGCCTCTGAATGCGTTATTATTTGTACGGATAGAAAAAAATAGCATAAAATATCAATGCGTTCACAATCAAATATTGCAAATATCTTAATGGCGATCCTCAATTTCCATTGGTATATAGGCAAGCCATCAACCTTGAAAGTTGTGCAAAATTCTGTTTTTTAGGTTCTGTAATTTTTTTGAGACTTGCGACCTTGATAATTGAAATGAATTTTTGCCAATATGTTTGACTTCAAAAATGAACGTAGTTTACATTATCTAAAAGGAGAAACAGCTACGTATCACCATGTTTTATGATGAGGCCACTCCCAAAAAGTTTGCGGAAAGGAAAAGAGTGCAGTGCATACTAAGCGTCATCATAAGTCAGGGATTGTTTTAGCCTCACTCCAGTAGATTTTTGAAATGCGAATGTACAACGTCAATGACAGCACCTCTAACTTCGAGCTTAGAAACTGTTAATTTATTACTTGATGGTAATCGGATCTTCAGGCTTTCCAGGCGATAAAATAATGATAGAATCGATGTAACAAACTATAAACCCGAACTCTTTACTCAAAAAAGAAAAACAAATTTATTCTATACGAAATAATAAATACTGAACACACGGCAACAATACATAACAGAAAGAAGTGCCAGTATTGGACCAAGCGATAATATTACACCCAAGAAAAAGAGCAAGAAAAATGATATCGAAGTATAACACAGAACCGTCTTCTACATAGTGATGTGAAACATGTTTTTGTATAGAACTCTATGTTTCACTTTGAACAGCTGAGCTAGCATCGTTGAAAATTAAAAAAAAACGTTTAGACAAGTTTCTTAGCTTCAAAGAAGCCTTTGAGATGTCGCATTTGCCAAGCACCAGTGAGCACCAAGACAAGTGTTTGACCAACTGACCACCACAAAACTCGGCTGTTGGTGGATTCGGAAGTTTGTCGGAAACGTTCTTCTCTGAAAAGCATCAGGTAACATATATGGAAAATAAAGCAAACGAGAGAAGGACTGCAAATGAATTTTAGGTGATACAATTAAAAATCCTTGAAAAAGGCGCTACCTGTATCGTTGGTAATTTTGCTCCTTTGTGATCTGCTCGACCTGGTCCAGTAGCTGACGAATCCGGAGTTGCAACTCGTTGAGCTTGTCCTTTGTGGCAATCTTGAAACAAGAGTTACTTTTTATACTCCCAAACGCGCTCAAATGAGAAAAGAACCTGTGCATAATCTTGGGCATGTTCTCCAGCTTGGATATCAAGGTGAACTCTGAGCTGGGCTCCACTGAACCATGCGCTGCTGTTTGAGTACAAACAGATCACATGTTCGCCAGGAAGATGTGAAGTGAAGGTAAATTTGCCCTCAGACGTGTACAGTTTAGAAAGTACAACCTGAAGATGTAATTTTATCTCTCCCAAGAAACTGAGAACAGATAATGGCATCACCTTATCTTCGGGATCTTTCACTTCCACATGCATTCCAATATTTGGGTAATCTCCGTACCCTTTCGTGTTGGGATCATAGAGTTGAACTTTGTAGTTACCGGTTACCTTAGAAGCTGCGCCATAAGTGAGGAAACAATTCCCATTCGTGGGGAAACAATGCCCATTCATGTATGACATACTATATACATGTACTACGAAAGAGCACCAAAGAAATAGCATGTATTGGAAAAATTGATGGAAAAGATGGACTTACAAATGAAAAATCAGAGTCACAGCAAACTCTAAACCTGATAAAGTAGCAATGAAGTTAAGGATTGGGGAAACCCGTCATTTCTAAGCCAAAGGACCAAGAGTGTAATAATCTCAAGTGTGAAGAAAAGATAGGATAGTGAAGAGAAATAAACGATATTGGTTAGAGTTGACTAGGTTTTGTCGTTGTGATTATTGTTTTATCGTAGGTCAATGTTGTACTTTGTACCCGCGCGGCTATAAAAGGCCGCCGGTTTGTTTGTTATTGTTCTTCTTATTATTGTTCTGTTCCGGCCTTGTCCGGATAAACTTTTTTTTCTATATTCTTCTGCCCCACACCAGAGCCCTCCGCATCAGCAGTCCCAGCTGGTGCGCTACATGGGGGCCGAACCTAAAAACCCTTAGGCCGCCTTAAGACCGCTTAACAGCGGAAAGGCGAGTAGCCTGCCATTGTGGCAGTGTATGTCCCTTCGTGTAAAAGGCACAAAGCCGATTCACGCTGGGACCAAGGGCAAAATCACAGCTCCTAGGGGAGGTGCTGCGCAATTTTTTTTTTGAAGCCCTTGGCATAAGGGACATACATTGCCACCTATCCCAATCCATCGCCACATATTCGCGTCAATACGCGGAAAAGGAGAAAATAAATAAGAAAGTGATCTTCGCTGTTGCAGAAAAGTGGGCGCGATGTCAGAGAGCCCTATGGAAGCAATCAGCTTAGACAAAATGAGCCTGGACGAAGTCCCTACGGATCGATTGCTGACCATGCAGAAAACTCTGGAAAAGCTGGTCGCAAGTATCGAGGATATTTCAAAGAAAACATCAGCTCAGGTAAAACTGTCCACGACAGCTTTAAAAGAGAGGGTCGAAGCGCTGCGGGCAGTGCCATCGGCGCTAAGGGAGCACAATGAACATACAAGAGCGCAGAGTAGGAACGCGGAAAACCTTGAAGCGCTCGCCAGCAGCTGCATTGAAAGTGAGTGTGAGCAAGTGTGCAGCGAGATACAGGCATTGGAGGAAATGGGAGAGTTACTAGCCAAGCAACGAGGGCTAACAAGTGAAGCTTTGCAACTTTTGACAAAGTGCGCCCAAGTAATCAGGGATAGTGAGGGGCAAGCAGAGTTAACAAAGAGTAAACACTATCGTAGCAAGACAACAAAGCAGAAAAGTACTAATATTCAGGTACCTGCTGATGCACCCTCGACGTCCAGAGTACAAGAGCAGGACGAAGACATTGTGGACGACCAGACATACGCAATATTCGATCCTATAGCTGCCGCACAAGGCAAGTTAGACGAAATGGTAAAGGGACAAGATCACGATGGTCTCCAATTTCAGCCCGCCGAGAAGAGCTCGCAGAGCACGAGGGCAATGGAACAGCCTGTTGGGAGAAACCAGTCGCAAGGTATGCTCGGCTTGTACAATCCTACAAGCATAGCCCAAATGTTTGCTGCGATGGCTTTGCCGGAAGTAGAAGTCTTTAGAGACCCACAGGGAAAAGGGATAGACGAGTTCATTTTGAAGTTCCGAATGAAATATAGCGGTCTAGGGTTGCATGATGACATGCTCCTCCACCTTTTTCTCTCAAAGCTGGGGGGATATCCCAAGGCCGTAGCAGAGGCACTGCCAAAACGGTTAAAGGAGGGCACTTTGGAAAACTTCATAGAAGCACTGCGGGACGAATTCAAAGTGCATGACTCCGCCGACCAAATGAAGGCCTACATGCAGCTAAAGAGGTTAAGAATGGGCAAAGACATTACCTCCTACTGCCTCGAGCTTGAGAGGCTGACGCAGAGAGCCTATCCCGATGCGACAGATAGGGAACTCTCACGAACAAGAGCCGGAGAACTAGTCTCCCAGTTAACGAAATGGCCGGAATATTTGCAATTGTTCACGGCCATGGAGACTGCTCCTAAGGAGTGTGCATATGAGCTGGTCAAGGCCATGGCACAAAGGTGTGAGCGCTGCAAGGACGTTGCAAACGCGATGAGACAGATCACGGAAGAAGCTCCGAAGACGAGTATGGGAGGAAAGCCAATGGGGAGTAGGAACAGACCACAGGCTACAAGAACTGTCGGTCAGGAAGATATTTCAGCAACAGCGGCTTCCCAGAAAAAACAACCACGTTGCTACAACTGTAATGAAGTGGGACATTACAGCCGTAATTGTAGAAAACCAAAAAGAAGTGAACCCAATGTGGATGCACCGAGGATTCTCACAACTTCACTGAACAAATGGATTTGCGGTACATTGGGTACAACAGAAAACGTTACTGAGCTAGTAGGGGAGCAGATGGTTACGAATATCCATCTGCTAGGTCTATCGCGAAAAGCACTGATAGACACGGGCTCCCAAGTGAGCATCATACCGCTGCAGATGCTAGTAGCCAGCCGAGACAGCGGATATGACTTGGATGCCAATGCTGAAGAGGTAGCAATAGACCACCTAGCTCCGGTATACGATGCTTCGGGCAACCGAATGAGATTCAAGGGGGCAGTCAAGCTCACGATTGAGCTAGAGAACGGTGTGAAGCAGAAAATATCGATGTTCGTGATGGCAGGAGCGGATCGCATGATTGTGCTTGGTACAAATGCGCTGTCAAAGCTTGGATTCTCCTTAGCCAACAATAAGAGCACTTCGAAAAACGACGGTACTGAAGCGAAAGTACCCAAATCTGAGGAGAAGCCGAAAAGAAGAAGATGGAAACAGCAACAGGAAGTCGTCACCAGTATGGAACGAGTGTACGTCGGACCAGGTGAGACGAAGGTGTTGCCTGTTACCCGAAAAGGCAGACCAAAAGAAGGGATTTTTTGGTCAAAGTGTGGAATGGTTCCTGATATGATCTGGGACAAGGATAGCACGTCGTTAAACGTTCCGGTGACTAATGGCTTGTCAGGAGCCAAGCTTTTCCGAGAAGGGGAAGAGATTGGAACGTTCGAACCTTTGGAGGTAGTGGAACAGCAACCTCTCAGCTATCAAGGCAACATGCTGGAGAGGACTGCTTCTGAAGCGCAGAATAGAGAAGAGCGCCTAAAGAAGCTGTTGGAGAATAGCAAGTCGAGCGGCAATCTCGAGGACAACATCCGAAGTCTGGTAAAACGCCACGCGGAAGGGTTTGCAGTCACCGACCAGGAGCTCTCTCAGACAAACCTTGTGGAGCATGACATCGAGACAGGGGATGCGTCGCCCATAAGGCAGAAGCCGCGACCAGTGCCTCTGGCAACTCGTGCGGAACTGAGGCGTATTCTGAGTGATTTGCAGACACGAAAGGTAATCGAGCCGAGCAGATCAAGCTGGGCCTCGCCTATCGTGCTGGTGCGAAAGAAAGATGGATCATTAAGGTTATGTGTGGACTATCGAAAAGTGAACAAAGTCACCAGAGTAGATAGTTACCCACTACCGTCCATCGATTCGATTCTACAGAGCCTGAAAGGAAAAGCGTTCTTTTCAACTCTCGATTTGGCTTCGGGATACTGGCAGATAAGCTTGTCGGAAGATGCAAAGCAAAAATCTGCTTTTGTTACCACCGAAGGCCTTTTCCAGTTTCGAGTACTGCCGTTCGGGCTATCAGCTTCTCCACCAGTGTTCCAGCGACTGATGCACAACGTACTGGGTACGTTGTTAGAAGGCGAAGAGGTATTTTGTTATCTAGACGATATCATTATCGCCACAGATTCAGCCGCGAGACACGTTTGTGTGCTCGATGAGGTTTTTGAAAAGTTGGAAACCGCCGGGCTTAGACTGAATCCACGGAAGTGCGTTCTTTTCGAAAGAAAAGTAGAATTTCTTGGCCATGTGATTGACCAAGACGGTCTGCATATGGATCCAGCTAAGATAGAAGCCATACTAGCGTACCCACTTCCAAAGTCGCGATCAGACTTGCGAACGTTCCTGGGGATGTGCTCCTATTACAGGAAGTTCGTTCTGGGCTTCGCGAAGGTAGCGGGCCCGCTACATGAGCTTACTTCAGAAAAGAAGAAGTTCGAATGGACGGAAGAAAGGAAGGCAAGCTTTCAGCGGCTAAAGAGGGTGATCACCGAAGCTCCGGTGCTCGCTCAACCCGATGTAGAGGCCGCGAGAAAGGGAACAAGGCCTTTCAAGATCCACACGGACGCGAGTACCCAAGGTCTGGGGGCAGTGCTCAGCCAGGAAGGAGAAGATGGTCTGCTGCATCCGATCTCCTTCGCATCTAGGGGGCTGTCCTGCTGCGAGAAGAGGTACCACGTAACGGACCTCGAGGCCTTAGCAGTGGTATTCGCTTTGCGTAAATTCCACATGTTTGTCTACGGGCTTCCAGTAGAGGTATGTACGGATCATCAACCACTTACAGCAATTTTCAAGCGCACCAACGTTTCTGATCGAGTCTTACGGTGGGCACTGGAGCTTCAGAAGTACGATCTGAAGATTGTCTACCTGAAAGGAGCGGCAAATCGGGTAGCGGATGCCTTGAGCCGCGGTGCGATACGGGAGATGGAATGCTGTACGGATGTTGACGATACCATGCCAGGGGAGCTGATCGTCGCATCTGCAATGGAGGAAGCAGTATGGACAAAAGAGCTTCGTGAAGAACCAGTCTACCAGAAAATCTTAGAAGGACTGGAAAAGGACGAAGTGGATGGAAAAGTGGAATTTCCGGGATCATCGCTGAGGTACAAGGTAGCTGACTTCATCATGAGCGGAGGTCACCTTATGCTGGTGGATAAGGACCGCTTGCGGAAGGTGGTACCACCCTCCCAGAGAAAGAAACTCTTCGAAGATGCACATTACGGAGTGTTAGCGGGACACTTCGGCGCCAAGAAGATGTGGCGTGAGCTATCTAAGAGATTCTTCTGGGAATCTATGAGAAGGGACATCTGGCGCTGGGCAGAGGAGTGCCGAGAATGCCTTTGTCACAACCCCCAGCGGGCAATGGTCCCACCACTACGTCCAATCGTGACCACTAGGCCATTTGAGGTAGTGGGTATAGACATTTTGGAAATGGGTATCACCACGGAAGGGAACCGCTACATTCTAACCGTGGTCGACCATTTCTCAAAGTTCGCCGGTGCCTATGCTGTCCCATCCAAAGCTGCGCCGGTGGTAGCTCGAGTGTTTTTTGAACGGTGGGTGGCGGAAGGCGGACGCCAACCCAAGTGTCTCCTCTCAGATCAGGGAGGGGAGTTCGAAAACAAGCTAATGGAAGAGCTACGAAAGTTGATGGGATTTGAACAAAGTTTCACCAAAGGGTACAACCCTCGCGAAAATGGCCTCACTGAAAGGTTTAATCAGACCATCATCTCGATGTTGAGGAAGAAGGTCTCCGTCGCAGTGGAATGGGATAAAATCTTACCCGCCTGTGTGTTTGCGTACAATACCACAGTGCATGAGTCCACTGGAGAGTCCCCATTTTTCCTGTTACACGGTTTCGACGCGCATGTTCCGTGGGATTTGGAACCTGAAGTCCACAGATACGCGGTGGACATAGACAGCTATGCCCAGGAGATGGCTGTAGGGACGCAAATTGCGCGTGAATATGCACGCAGGGTAAATGACAAAATGCGGGAGCGTATGAAAGCCTCATATGACCGTGAGAAGGGAGTGGAGAGTTGTCCGGCACCCCCCAAAGTAGGTGACCGGGTCTACATGCGAATCCCCAGCGAGAAACAGTCTTCAAGCCATCCCAAATTAGCGAATCCCTGGGAAGGACCCTACCGAGTTATAGATGTCAGTGAACATAGCGCCCTAATTACGATGATCGGCCAGGATAAAGAACCAGTGAGGGTACCATTTGACTCGCTTAGGAAGCTACCCCGGGGTATCTCCGACGAGCCATTGCTAACAAAAAAGAGTAGGGGCAAAAGAGGACGCCCCAAGAAAAATAGGACGGCAGTGGTTCGGTGTAATAAAATCTCTTTTTCCAGGACTCTTCTGGCCGAAAACGACCGCCTGAACCTACGATTTCGCTGCTGCTGCGGTCTATTTGGACAAATGGCGCATGTAGCTATGCCGGAGTTGAGACACCCGCTGGCAAGGGCGAAAAAAGTAGACGACATGTTCGAACTGGCCAACGTGGCAAGCATCTCGGAGCAAGAATGCTGGACGGATGAGAAGAAAGAGCTGGAGCTCCGACGGAAGCACTCGTCGTACCTCTCACCGTATGGATTAGCCGTGGCCATGGATGCCCATAGGAGGCACTGTCCCTTGTACGCCAAAAGACTGGAAGAAGCGAAAGGAGTCAAGTACGAACATCCCGCAATATTTCCTTGGCCCAGCGAATACCCCATCGGGGACATTCTGACAGAAGCGGTCATGATGCTGGACCAGATTGAGATGCCATCTTGGAAAAACAAGGCGGACCGCAATACCTTCATTGCTCTGCCTCACTCCTTCTTCAAAGTGGACGACGAAGTTTCGTACGAGGACAACATCATTGTGTACATTTACGACGATTTCGGGAAGCTCGCCCACAAACTGGTAACATCTCGCGAAATCACGAAAGCGATGGTGATTGTATGGCCTGATACCATGCCAGAAAGCAGACACATGCGCCAGCTCCTGATTGGAATTGAAAGGCATGTCCAAGATGGCGGAACGCTCGTCTTCCTTCCCAGCCCCTTTGAAGACCGAAACGCAGAAGAATGGAGGAAAATCGGCGAAGTATGCCGCGAATTCGTAAGGTTCCTGACTGACCCGTCTCGCAACTTCGCTGCAGTGACCCGAGATCACTATTCTGATGTCTTAGACAGCTCGCCATACACGCATCCAGCCTGCTGCCTTGGAACCAACCCCAGAAAGCATCGTGGATCATTCATAGGGCCACAGATTTTGACGTTTCTCGAGAAGGTGAGGATCACCGTGAATGACTTGATCCGTCTACCCGTGTTCGAGCCCGCATCCTTGGAGTTACGAGAGCAACGAAGAACGGAAAGGAGACAGAAGGCGCGTCGCCGTATGGAGGAACACATGCCCAACTACTGGGTGATCGCTGATCCACAGAGGAAGCGTCATCAAGCACCGATAACATTCCAGAACCCGGCTAAGCGCAGACCGGAGTCTCCAAGTTGCCGCCATCACATTCGACATACATCCGCTCACTCGCACCGTAGGCAGTCGCACGATCGTCGGGACGACTCTACTCGTCGGGGAGGCATGTGAAGAAAAGATAGGATAGTGAAGAGAAATAAACGATATTGGTTAGAGTTGACTAGGTTTTGTCGTTGTGATTATTGTTTTATCGTAGGTCAATGTTGTACTTTGTACCCGCGCGGCTATAAAAGGCCGCCGGTTTGTTTGTTATTGTTCTTCTTATTATTGTTCTGTTCCGGCCTTGTCCGGATAAACTTTTTTTTCTATATTCTTCTGCCCCACACCAGAGCCCTCCGCATCAGCAGTCCCAGCTGGTGCGCTACACAAGCAAATATTCACCTTTTTGAAATTCGGCAAAACAAGAGAATGAAAAAGTTGTCGTTAGTCATACAAAACTCTGTCCTACTCAGCACTGACTGAAAACGATAACACAACTTTTTTTTGGACTGAGAGGGAAAGTGTGATTAGACAAGAATTGTCATCAAATACCGCAATACATGTTTTCAAAGAAGACGAACGCTCCAGAAAGTTATGAAAAGCCGGAGAATCATTATAGGTATTTTCAGAAATATAAAAAAAATAACAGCATAAGAAGAATGCCTTCAACTCACCATAGTTTCATCAGGAATTTCCTCGATGAAGCATTTCTTCTCCGTCTCGGCAATGTGGAAATAGAGAGCTTGACATGCCGCCACGATGAAGGCCAGCAACAATAGCCGAGTTAACATCTCGAGCTACAATTGTAATAAAAAATGTTAAGCATGTGATACGTATCTGAGCGCTTACAAAGCTCAGAGACTCAAAACAGATAAAATATTGAAGCGGTTATAAACCAAAAATTCACCAAGGTACACAATTTAAAGCAATGTTTATATGTTTGAAAGCTTGTATAACAGATATGGCAAGAAGTGGGCAAGATGTATCGCTGACTAGATTAAGTAATAACGGGTAAGATCTCTCGACATGGCAAAATATTGGATGAAGATCTGATGTAATATTGCAATCAAAATGCACAACAAATCACAATGAATAAATAAAAACAAAATGCTAGTGTAGCAAAAATTGCCTAAGAATTAGATGAGGCAAGCCAGAGCACTAAAATACAAACTGAAGGCACGAGGAAGGCAAACTAACATAATGAATGTTTGAAAGCAGAGGTTCTTCAAAATGGGAAGGGGTTGGAAGTGTGTAAGTAGATGTAAAAGTGCCTAATCTGAATAAGTAGTTGAGTAAATGCGTGGTCAAATGCATCTAACAGACCTGATGCAATAATGCATAAAATAAGAACAAAAACAATAAGTAACAAGGAAAGAAAGGAAAAAGAGAAAGCTCTCTTTAGAGGCCAAGAAAGAAAGTAAAATCAAAAACCGAAACAATGTCAAATTGAAATTCGAAACGGAATCACGACCGCCTGGCAATCTTGACTGTTCCAAATGCTACAGTTCTCTCGAATACCCATTTTTGGGCACCATCGGTCGCATCGCATAGTGCAGAAGTCAATCGCCACTGGTCTCCATCCGGCTCAATAGCTAGGCATCGGCCTCCTTGCGTAAGCCAACCTGTGCTCGCATCCATGCGAATCCTTGAGTTGACCTACAAGAGCGAGCTCAATGGAGAAAGAGTTACGGAAACAAACTCACTCACTCAGTCACTTGTGACTCGTTAAAATAACAATATGACTGGATAAAAATGAAGCAATGAAAGCTACAAAATTCATGAAACAGAAAATTTGGAAACAAGACTCACATTCTTGCATTCATCCAAAATCACTACCGGATCCCCGTTCATGTCTTCCATTGTGAAGCAGAGTTTTGTGACTGTACTGAGCAGATGACCAGTTTCTTGTTCGAAAGCCCATTCCTGCAAGCATTTTTGTAGGCCCGAAGACAAAATGCAAATGAACGGAAATGGTTATCGATAATAAAAATATCAACATAATTTAGTGGTGGAAAAGTTTCAAAACATTTTCGTTAGAACATCCACGTGGTTTATGAAATTAGCTGTAAGTAATGACCGGCACACACGCTATAAATCAAGATAATCTACTGATAAAATTCTTTTTAAATGTGAGTCTAATGAGTAGTAAAAATTACCCTAAGTTCTCGAGATCACAATTGTACTAGTTAGAGGAACAGAAGTAAAACCAGTGAGAAACAAGACCTCGAAAGCAAATCAAACACCGCTAATCGCCGATCAGACGTGAAATTGACACGTAATCAAATAGTGTGTGCAATCGCGGCACAGTGCAAAAACAGTAGGCCGAAATAAATTCAAAGTCCGCAGTCGCACAGTTTTCAGAGCCATTGAGAAAACCCAATAGCATAAAATTTCTGAAGTACCTGGTTTCCTCCGGTTCCATGACACTGGTAGATTCCGACGGATTCTCCAATTTTGTGGCCGAGAGTGTCCAGACACATGATACCGTTTTTGATGTGGTACAGTTCGCCTTTTTCGCGTTCGGGAACTCTGAAATGGATACTTTTGCGAGATAGAAATATTAATATTTCCAAGTGACATGAGAAAAAGCATATTCAAAGAGTTAGGTTCAAATCAAATGGCGACAAACACGACTTCCAAGACTCAAATATTAAAAGCTAAAATACAAAACATGATTCAAAAACTTGTCCTACTATTAATGTGAAATTCCCCCTGACTTACATGAAAAGAAAACTAATCAGTTAATGTAGAAATACTTTCACAAACTCACTTCAATTCTGGATATATTGTCTGCAGGTACCAGGTGAAAGAATGGCATTTTAAACGCTCTCGCAAAGCCAAGCGGTCAGAAACACTGAAATAAGCAAAAGATAAAACGCTCGAATGATCTGTTCGTCACAATCTTAGAACGTTCACTCACTCTCCATACTTGACATATCTTGCTGATGGCACATTCCTTAGATATATCACTTTATATTCATCCATCCAGACCTCAGCCGCGCGTCTCGTATTTCTGAGAAAACAAAGCCGGACAGGCTTTCATGCGAGAAAAAACGTTCGTCTGGGCTATAAAAGCTAACGCACGATTGAAAGACGTTGCCAGATCCTCCGGGAAAAGTGTATGGATGTTGCTTGCGGAAAACATGGCCAACTCTACTGCAGGGGATGATTTCCAAAGATCCTCCGCATTGCCACACGCGGAACGACATTTCTGTGACGAGAAAATATGCGCATATTATAATGAGAAGAGAAAATTTTTCACCAACCAAGATTTTCACCGCCCCACACATCCATACCCATGTCGTAGGTGCCCAATTCTTCAAACCAGCTTTTCTTGATGGCAAATAAACCACCAGCCATAGTTGGAGATCTGTAAATTGAAGAGCATGCTAAACTCTCTAATTAGGACGCACGACCAGCAAAATCTTGTCAAAAAACTCGACTTCTACAAAAGATTAATAAACAAACCTCCCTTCCTAAAGAAAAAGCTTAACTCATCAAAATGCAAGTTGAGAGGAAATCAAAATCGAGTCAAAAACGAGAAAATACAAGGGGTGGTTATTTACCTGATAGGATCAGTCGGATGAGCATGACGTTCGTCTTTGAGCTTTCCAGTGAGGAATTCCCATTTGAAAACGAGATTCCAATCAAATCCTCAAAATAATCCATTTCTTTCTTAGGATATCACGTTTCAGGATTGAATATAAAAACGTACCTCCTCTCAAATCAGCACTAGCAGCAATATAATTGAAAGTATCCATGTTAATCACATCAATTATTGGTGCAACAACTGCTTTCTCATTCTGCAAAAAAGTAGCTGCATCGAATGCTATAACAAGGTAGATTTGTACCTCATTAATCCGAGCAAGAAGTGGCTCCAGCCAGCCAACATTGCATTCAACATGACTGTCAAGGAATGTCAAGATCGGGGCAGTAGCATAGGCAGCTCCTTTCACACGAGATCGTATAAGGCCTAGAAGATTTGCTTCATAAAAACAAAGATGAATGAAAAGTATGTAAGCAAAAATGATAAGAAAACTTGCCTTCGCGTTTGATGTTCCTCAGAACAGTCACTTTTTCCAGCTGTGCGATATCCTTTCCAATAGAATCTAGGAGAGATATGCATAAACGCAGTGCAAAATGTTTGTAAATCAAAAAAATTCCTACCATCTTTAGAGCAATCATCGACAAGAATAATTTCGTGAATAAGATGAGGAGGAGATCGTAGCATAACACTATATACAGTACGTAAAAGCGTCGATCGAGCCTCGTTATGATATGTTACTATCACAGAGGTGGGTTCTAACACAGAAGTGTCGTAGGTTAGTTTCTTGCAACTGAAAAAAAATAAGAAATAAAATGAGAAAAGCTAATGAAGAAATGACGGTAACATCACTTACTGATGTTCTCGGCTGTCAATGATATCTCTCTTTACAGAAGCGGCATCGCTCGCAGCTTGATTGAACTTGTTGGCAGCATATTTATCCTACAACATCACACAAAAGACATACAATTTCGATATCAGTGATCACAAAGGAACGAAAGGTATGAGGAGAACTCAGTTTGAAAACATAAAAAAATGTAAGAATCACATAAGAGAGATTCAAAATTGAAACGCTTATAGAACAATGAAAGTCAGAAGGTTACCTCTCCAGGCTTGAGCTTTCCTTTTGCGATGTAGGCATCTACGTCAAACTCGGATAAACTGAGCACAGGTTGCGGTTTGGGGTGAATTTCAGTATTACCTATAATTTCAGCCATTAGAATCATTGCGCAATAGAACAATCAGAAAAAATTGAGTAACGATTATTATTTTCTGCTAGAAAATGAAGTATTTTGTCAGTGAAATCCTAAAAATATTTTTAATCGGCTTATAAACGAGTAATCAGAACGCAAGACAAGGAAAAAAGTAAACAAAACTCACTGAATCTGTCTAGAAATGATGTCAGGCCTCCTTGAGAGTGTAGAACCACTTCTGCCGATTTTGTTGGTGGCACTTGCGGTAGAGGAGGATCCAAGTAAAGTTCTTCAGTAGGAAGTTTCCAACCTCTGCGAGGCTTAGTCAAGTCCCCAAAAGTATCCTCCTGGAACAGATTGCATCTACTATGGGCTATAGTATACAAAAAGTAGACACACCCTTCTGTCATAAAATCCAGAAGTCATAAAGTAGACAATAAGGGAAACCCATGAAACTAGCAGAACGGCCACAAGCACCCGCGTCCGGCATAATTTTAGCATTTTCGAGAAGAAATACAGAAGAAAAAGACGGATTCGGCCTACGGTGCACCTAAATAAAGCATAAGTGGGATGAAAATAAGCAATCTGAATCACTGAGACAGTCTCTCACAACTAAACGAAGCATGTAGGACTTTGCCAAACAGATACGATGCATAAACCAGCAAGCGTGAGAAGATGAAATTGGATGCCGCTTGCCGCTGGCTGCACACAGCAGACGCGTCTATATGGAGAACCGAAACACCCAAATTATAAAAACTCACTTTGTCTCCAAATAGCACTACAAATGACGCGACACCTGCTGCAATCGTACCTTCCTACCTTGACCAGGGCATTACTGAAATACTTACAGGTAAAAAACTTTGAAGTCTCTTCTCATTATAAACACGTTAGAGCCTAAGAAATTTTGCTAACTTCTCAGGTAGAGAAACTTGAGAGTTTTGGCAGTTTTTCCATAAATAAAAAGTCAGAAAGACGGACAAATTCAACAATAAGAAAAAAATATAAAATTACTGAAAAATAAGAATAAAAGGATCATCAGTTTCGTTCCTACCTTCAAAAGCAGAGTGAATGATAATAAGTTTGGTGACTATAAAAACGTGAAAATTTCCACAAATTTACAAATCTGCACAATTTCATGAATTCTGTCAAAAAGGCGCAAAACATACCAAATTTCGAGTACAAAATGCAAAATAGAGGAAGAGTGAGTAGTTGAATTGAGAGACAAAAATTCGGATGTATACTCAAATAAAAGCCAATTAAGAGTATGAACAGCAAGATTTGCAATTTTCACGTAAGCTTCTGCAATTTAGCGGAAGAGCTCATAGATCAAAGACAAAGCAGAAATGTAAGTCTTGAAAAAAATCAACAAAAAAGGTTTTGGGATTGAAATTAATGCTTAAGCCCCTTCCATTAGCATAGCCTCATATCAAATTACATTGTAAACACTATTAGAACAAAGGACTTCGATAAAAAGGACAAGACGAAACATAACATCTAGAAATCGCAAAAACATTGATAACTTAGACCAACAAACAAAGAAGATGAAATGACCTCATAATAGACAAGGAAGGTCCGCTTGTCATGGAAAGCAAAGAACTCAGCAAACAAGTGCCAATGGCTGAGGATAAAGGAGGGGGCTTTGAAGACGCGTAAAACATTCCATGTGTGCAAAACACGCTGAGACCTTTCTGCTGAGATAGTTGCTGTAAACATTTCTGAACGGCTCGTTGTATCACGCCTTTCGAGAGCGTGCTAACAGCTGTCATCCGTCATTGTAAGAGACTTAATGAGTGAATGATTTGATGTCGGCAAATTACCGTCGCTAGCAAATGAGGTAGGCGATGAATTACAGAAGAGGAGAATAATAAGAAATGACATCAAAGCAGGGGTTCCGAGGTCACCGTGGTTCACATAAGATGTAGATATATGGAAGTACTCATCTCAAATATCTCAGATTTCTATTCGCTATCTGCAAAGCGTATTCCGGAGGAAGTTATGATTATTTTCCTCTAATGAAGTTAGTGTGGTTTCAGGTAAAATAGTTAATGCTGGCCAGTTTGCTTGCTTTATGCTATGAAGCAATATCAATACATAAACACCATTTTCAGGTCATTTAATTTCTTGAACAAACAAAAAAAAGGAAATTGCAAAGCCCATTTTGAGCCACTGCAACAGTGCAACTTTGTATCGAAAGTTCGGAACCTAGTCCATGAGATCGCGTTGCAGATGGCAATATATCTCCATACACATTTTATGTGAAAAGGCCACCTGATTTTTCCTCTCATAAGAAGAGGGAAAGGAAATTTGATGAATATTACCGGAAAGTTGAAAACGTCATTGCTGCGTCAGCGCTGATGGCACCAATTCAGCAAAGGGTAAAAAAAATAATAGACACGTGAGACGGCTTGATGAATGCCAATTTGACCAAAAAAAAACTTCTCCAATTATGGATCCAAAGAACAACAAAGACTCCACGAAGATGAAAAGTTCAAGGTATATATACCCAAAAAGGTGTGATATGACTTAGGAGTTAATACCCCAGAGAGAGTGTGACATGACTTAATCGGGGTTAATATTTCTGACTTAATATTTGTGATGAAGAATTAACTACAACAAGTTGAAAAATACAAAAATCAAAAACAGAGTGAAAAAGCCACAAAGGAAGTTCATAAACTTTGAAGAAAAATTGTCAAAACCAGCACATTTCCGACATTTTCAGTGAATCAAAGCATCATGGATCATTGTTGCCAAACGCACTCGCAATGAGCTCACTAATCAATCGTAATATAAACAAATGGGACTTGACCGATGTCATGACGGAAAGCATAGGACAATCATTTTTATTCAATAAATTCCTTATCTAGTATGTACAAAAAGAAACTATGGACTAAATCGATCCTAAGCCTATGACACATTTGTCAGAAAAGGGGCGCCGCTAGGACTTAATCTTTGACCGTTGCGCTTTTACGATACTTGCTATCTAAAGACGCCCTGCCAACGCGTTTACGGTTGTTTACCGTCATTACTACAAGTATCCTATAACAAGATAGCTACAACCTAACAACCGAAACTTATTATTGTCGTAAACAACTCATAAAGAAGCTCATAACAAACAAAACTCAACAGCTGGCTACAGACCCGTAATCAACAAGGCGAGAAGTGAATATACAGGGTGTCCCAAAAAAATGTATCGAACGTTTGATCGTTAATATCTCTCTTCCCAAAAAGTCTTTTGCCTTGCTTTAGGTACCGTTTTGTAGAGCTGGCTTCAACTTAGACTTGCGTTATAGAACGAACTACCCATCTCTCTTCATTACTGTAGGATTACGGTAGAAACTTGAAACATATGGTGTCAATGTGGAAAAAGCTGCCGTTTCAAAATTTTTCAAAAAATTGTGAAAACTTGTGTAATAGGGTTTTTATGAACGCTGAGTTCAATACTCAACTATTCACAAGATTACGAAGCTTTCTAAACGGTGTAACCGCACTTTTTAAGAACATTGAAAAAATGGCCGCTACCTTTTACCCGGCATAACTTTTCAATGAAGCATCATAATAAGTTGGGAACTTCACAGTTATAATCAGCAACTTTAACTAGCCTAGTGTAAAAGCTTGCAAACTGTTTTTTTCCTTTCTGAGGCAAAACATGGCCTTTCATTGCTTAAAACCCTCTTTGAAGTTTCTACCGTAATCCTACAGTAATGAAGAGAAATGAGTGATTCGTTTTATGATGCTAATCTAAGTTGAAGCCAGCTCTACAGATTGGTACCTGAAGCAAGAGAAAAGACTTCTTCAGAAGAGAGATATTGACGATCAAACGTTCGATACATTTTTTTGGGACACCCAGTATATGCAAAAAAACGAAATTCTATCGCATGATGACACCGTACTGCTCAACAAGCTGATCAGTAATTTTCTTGTGAATCACATTTACTTCATCTTTGGTCAGCGCTCTTTCGTGACTCCTGTACACAATGCGGTAGGTTTGACTTCGGCGATTTTTCTTTTCGTTGAAAAACTCATCCGTGAGCTTTACCTGAAAATTACTTATCAGTAATTAAACACTAGCAGGAAAGACTTTTGAATTTTCTCAGTTTCCTTGAAGAAAGAGAAGATTTAGAAGTTTCTCAATAAAATCAAAAGAACTCAAAAGTCTGGATATTGTAGATATACAGAGAAACCAGTAAAAATGGTTCCGTAATTGCTTGCAGCAATATAACTAAAGATGCTTGGAAAAAAAATAAACAGCGCAATACAGAGAGCATGGAGACGAATGATAGCAAGAATAGTAAGAATACAGTAGAATATCAGCAATAAGAGTTCAAAAACAGAATTTTGTTATGTATCAGTATACTGTAATCCTGTACACTAGCAGAGACATCCATTCATCTCATGCACACTGGCGGAACTGCACAAAAAGCGCATCAGCGTATGCTGCAATGGGGCGGAAAATTTGTCAAATTTCATTTGCCGGCCCTATGCGTGAAGCGCGTTCATCATCTCATCATCGGAGGAAGTTGCCCAGAGGAGCACACTGACTTGTATAGAACTATGTTTACGAATTCACGAAGACGAGAGGCGAATCAACTACCAACTCTAAACCAAATGACTAGCGTAAACGCGACCCTGCAGGCTTTGACTGCTGGAAAGCAGCTGCAGCCGTTTTTTTTCGTACCCGCAAGCTCATAAACAATTCAATGTGTTGCTCGATACTTTTTTGTCGCAAATATTGCCCTAATAGTGCATGGTTTTTCAGACATGAAGATATAACGGGCGAGAGTATAGCTCCGCTCAAGCGATGGGGAACGGAAAAGTGAAACTGCACAATTACCTGCTCCACTAGATCGCCTCCTACATTCCTTACAGTGTCGTTCACATTTGCTGTCATATCGTTGAATAGAGCACCATCTGGTAGAAAGAACGACATATCGAACAAAACCTAAAATGATATATCCACAGAAAGACTTTTGAAATAAGAAGATGGAGAATAATCAATTCCAAACCGACCTGAGGATGCACACTAATCGGCTTATATTTTATCTCGTCCATAGGTGACTTGTCGTAAAACTGAGATAGAAAGCCAGTATCTTTCGACCAGAATAACCTAGAATGAATGCGAAAATTGTGACCGAAAGTATAGGGTGACAGAGGGAATGACTAAAAACAAAAACAATTCAAAATAGTAGCAAAATGAGCAGGAATTTGTCTTCAACGAGTTTACCGGGCTCAAAAAGAAGAGAAGAGACAAATTCAAAAAGCTCAAGACTCCTACCATAAACTCACCTAATGTCAGGAATATCATACAATATCATGGCCAGTCGCTCCAGTCCTAAACCGAATGCCCATCCAGCCTGATCCCGAACACCGGCCGATTCCAGCAATGCCTGCTCCATTATGCCACAACCCAATACTTCCATCCACTTACCATCGTAGTATACCTACAAATAAGACTGAGCAGGACTCGTACAGGTAAACGAAACCAACAAAGCATACCTCCAGTTCATAAGACGGATGTGTAAACGGGAAGTAGGTTTCAACCCATCGTTTCTCACAAGACTCTCCAAAGAGAGCATCGCTAAGACCCTACAGATACCTCGTGAAAACTAATATCACAAATATGTCAAATCATACCTCAAGGGTTGTTTTCAACTGAATTTCTAAGGCTTTTGATGCATCTTGGGTGTGTCGCTCTTGTTTCTCAGGAGTTCGTTCACCATCTTCAAAGATGGGCACATCATCTTCAGTCTGGAAGAGTTGCGAAGGTGTAAAAAGGCGGACACCTTCTACCTAAAAAAGGACTTCACACTTCGAAAACTGATCAGGTAAGCGAAAGTGTAAAAAAGAAAAGGTAAAAATCACTCTCTTCCCAAAAATTACCTGGTGGAAGCATGGGTAATGTGTTCGATCCACCTCATCACGTCGATAAACGTCTCCAACAACGAGGAACGCATCCAATCCCTCCCTCATAAGCTGATGCTGGTGAGCGGAAGTATGCGCGCGAAGACAATGCGTTTTATTAATGTAGTACGTATCAGACGGCCTCCTTGAAAAAAAAACGAAAATTGTTTTCTGCAAGAACTCAAAGCGCAAATTTTACCTTGAAACATGATCTAAAGGTGTGAGAAGCGAGTCAAAGTTCTGGAAAGTAGTCACAATGCGCGCTTCATTCTCGCAGACGGTGAACAAAGGACTTCTAAAGGCTAAAAGAGAAGAAAATAACAAAGGAAAAAGAAAAATGGGGTAACGTATCACGTACCTCCACCTTTTCTGTAGGTTTGGTGCATGTAATCTACGATTCTCTGCTTTAACAAAGTGAGAGGATTGTACTGATCTTGCAACAAGCGACGATTGAGTAGTTCGTGGACAGCCGGGCTCAAATTCCATGTCTCGTCAGTTGGTATGGATTTTCCATCTATCTGCATGAAACATTACGCAGTAAATAACATAGAGTGTTTTGAAAATTGTTTGACCTATTTGCATTTGAAGACCTGCGGTGTATAATTCTTTTAGAATATTGCTTGTCACTTCTATTTGAAGCCTAGAAAATCACCAATTCTCTAATCTAAGCATGTGTTAGAAAATTGTGATGCATTTTTAGATTAAATTCGCATCTAAAAATTTGGAAGATTGCTCGCCTTGCCATTTTGAGCTCACAGTAAAAAAACTAACACATACACGTCGATAATGAAACAAAAAGTTATTAATTACCTGATAAAACTCCGGCCGTTCGCCCTTATGCAGGACTTGTGGACAAGGAACAGAACGTTTCTCTGAAGTTGCTGATGACGAGCACGAAGATGAAGTGGAAAGTGCGCGCCCCGCGCAAAATCGAGATATTCGCAACACAAGCATCTGGAACCAATTACGAACATTAGAGATAATAGGCTTCGCATCTTGCACAGCTGCAAGCGATGGCAAATCGATATCGTGCTGCAAAAGTGTTCATTAAGCTGGGTTAGTACTGATCCATAAGTTCTGGAACAGTTCCAGCACAGCGCACAATTCAGGCGCTGAGCGGAACTGTTCCGGAACTCACAATTCAGTACGAATCCAGCCTAACAAACGCAAAAATCAAACCAGGAGGGTAGGATGCTGATGTGGAAAGCAGATTACAAAGCGTTTGCCAATTTTTCATAATAGTTCTAAGCCCGAAAAAAAAGAGATTTATGATATCAGCTATGGAAGCTTCCAAAGCAAGTGGAATCGTCCATTATCTCAACGCACTGTTTTGTTGGCGATTGAAGGTCTCAGGACAAGCAGTGAGGCCCTGGCCAGAGTTCGCTCAAAAGCGCCCAAAAGCGCCCAAAAGCGCTCAAAAGCGCCCAAATTTCTTGGTGTCTCTTCACTTTCTCACGTGAGGATAGATGAGAGAGTGAGGAGAGGTTGGAGAAGTTTGGAAAATTGTGCTACAGTTTAAACTACAGTCTTAAAAGTTTACTACCTGTTTCATAAATCCACCTCTTATCCTGATCTTGCCGCGTCCGCGTAGTATGAAGGAACCCAATGATGGCAGAACCCCTATCAAGCCAATGCCCAAGCCGCGGCGCAAATGTCGCTTCGGAAACGAGAAAATCGCTTCGGAATAACGAAGATGCATGAGAACTCCACGTCGGCACCGTCCCCTCCAAATGCCCACTCCAATCACCATTTCGGAAAGCCGGCCTGCGGATTCTCCGAAACGGTGATTGTCGGGGTTTTCGCGGATTGTCGACTTCATCGGAATCAAGGACATGAGAACCCCACAACGATCGAACATGGACGTCGAGAATCTGGGTGATTGGTGACTTCAAGGGTATAGGCGAGTCGTCACATGCAGAGACAGACGTCGTTGCAGACGCCGCGGCATCCGTCCTATTGCCACCTGCTGTTTACTCTGACATTCGTTTCGGACGAGCCGCGCGAAATTTGCGTACGAGCGGACTCCCCAATGGCCGTTCGCCCGCTAAATGCGCTCGGGTGATACGCGAATTTCGCGCCGCTGGTACGCTGTCACATCGGCGCCGCTGGTACGGTAATTTTGTGCTTGTATCACTGATATGACAATTTTGTGTTAACGCCACCGAGATGGCAGTTTCGGAAACCACTTCCGGCTACAAAATTGAGCAGCACAAAGGTGCTATTGAAGATTGTCTACAGGACCACCTTCCGGTTGTGTTCTTGTGTAAGTATTGTAAACATATTCAAGGCAATTAGCATGGAGGACAGCCTAACCACTGCGTCGTACCTTACGCAAGTATCCTTTATGCTTATAACGTGTGAAAATCACGCTATAATTTTTGTGCACTTAAAATTGTAAAAATTATAACCGAATGCATAAATAATGATCGCCCACAAACTTACACGTCTTTCTTTGACTATGGTAGCCGTGAACTCTTGGGCATGCCTGAAAAGCTGCAGAAGCTTAAATTAGTGGTACGCGGCTCGTACGTTTGAAGGCACGCGGCCGATACTGCTTGAGCGGATAGGCAATTTACGAATAATAAACGAATAATACTTCAAAAGGCTCAAAGCGATGTGAGCATATATTATAGTAATAACTGCAACGAAAACGTAGAAAACTGGGCGTCAAAGTGGGCGCCTACAGATTCCCTCTGGTGCCACAAAGAAAACCTAATGGACTATGTAATAAATAAAAACTGGAATTGAAAAGGTACTACCAAAACAAGTTAGAAACAATCTTTGAAGAGAACGTCCATGAATGACGTCCTTCTCGGATTTCTATGGCATCCCGTCGAATGGGTCGAAGATTTTTTTTTGTGAATAAATGGACGCTATGGAACGCCGCTGATACTGAAATTTAAATATTATGGTACGCCGCTCGTACGTTTGAAGGCACGCGGCCGGTCCTGCTTGTCAATTGCGCGCCGCTCGTACTGATACACTCCGAAATGCGCGCCGCTCGTACTCAAATCCGACTGTGTCACGCCGCTCATACGCTCGACGGGCGCGGGTCGTAGGAATCGTTATTTTCGCGCGCCGTTCGTCCGAAACGAATGTCAGAGTACTCCAAACGTGAGCTTAGTTGGACGCGACCGCGAACACACAAAGGTTACGGCCAGACTTCGCTCAAAAGGTAGGTGCCAGAGTAAGCGAATATTTTGTTCAAGTTGGGGTCCCGCGCAGAACTGGCGTTACCATTGTGGCACAACGCCAAGTTGGCATTATGCCACAATGATTAGTGATGCTAGTTCTGCGCGGGACCCCAACTTGGACAAAATATTCGCTTACTCTGGCACCTACCAAAGCGCCCAAAATTCTCTAATTCTCTCATCTCTCCTCACACGAAAAAGCGAAAAGATTTAGAGAAAATTGGGCTCTTTTGAGCGCTTTTGAGCAAAGTCTGGGCGAGGTCGTAGACTTATCCGATCCAACCAATTCATCCGGTTCAGAGAAACGCTATTGGTCAGTTCGATGATCTAACCAATAGCGAATAGGCTATACCGGATGGACCAGAAAAGTCTGACACCTCCCTTACCCGACCTGTTCCTGGTTAGACATGGTTCACTCATTCGTACTGGTCAAATCATTGAGTTAACCAATAGCGAATGGGGTAAGCCGGATGAACCGGTTGAACTGGATAAGTCTGGCACCTGCTTTAGCCAACAACTCCACTATAAATGACCATCGGCATCGTCAAATAAGTCTATCTCAGCGATATAAGTCTACCCCTTGTGATAGATTTGATATGATAACGGTCTGAAAGAGCGAAAGCAGACAGGCGCACATGTGGTGAAATCTAAACCTCGCAGATTTGGATAAACGAATTCTCGAAAGCAAAGAGATAAGCCCTCCTCCCTAAACGAGAACAGCAGACGAAAACCAAATTGCAAAAGACGTCAAAAGCACATTTGCAAAAGTAGCCGTCTTTGGGTAGCCACTGGGTGAAGTGGCACAATCCGCCCGTTGTTCCACGTCTTCTGTTGAACAGAGAGGCCAGAAAATCCTTGCGCACAAAATTTGTCCATCTAGGGGTTTTAGTTCTTCACTTTGCGTGGTGAATAAGGGAAGTATCATTCCTCACAAATGTCGCTTGAATATTCCTCCCAGGGACACAGTTCTCTTGCTTTACACATCTTTCATTTTTCGCTTTGAATCCGTCTTTATCGATATTCCGTAGAGGCTGACTCTGCTTTTTTCAGATATCGATGTTTTCGCCTAAAAGGAAACGGTTTCGATATGAAAGCGAAGACGATGCTCAAGATATAACAATGAGATCAGATCGGGTGAGCTTTCCTCTTATCGTTTGATGATGTCGAAAATTAAAGCTAGGAGGTAATTGAGATCTTCCGAGATGGACTAGTCGAAAGAAAAGGAAGCTGTCAAATTCATATCCCCACTATGATTTCTTAAGCCGTGATTGTGAGAGCAATGCTGCTTTCAGATTCATCTTTTACTTATTTTATGAGTTGTGCTCTTGTTCAGAATCATCATGCGTGCAAAGCGTATCCAAGTTTCTAATTTCAGAATGAATAATATAAACTTTATGAGGTTGTTCTTTGAACATTTGGCTCCGGCCAGGCTTCGCTCAAAAGCGCCCAAATTTCTCTAACCTTTCTTCACTTTCTCTCATCTTTCCTCACACAAGATAATGAAGGGAGATTAGGGAAAATCTGGGCGCTTTTGAGTGCTTTTGGGCGCTTAGAGGGCTTTCTAGCGAAGTGCCAGTGCCTTAGGTGCAGACAGGTGCAGAAGAATTTTGATAGTCCTGAAAATATATTGTGCCGTTACCAGTTGTTCCAGTAGGTTTTGATCGTATCTTTTGAGACCATGGATTTTGAAGACGAGCATGAAGATTACGAAGATAGCGAGGATCTTTCACAAAGCAAAGAGGGACTAATTCCACCGCACTTGATGTTGGAACATGTTGAGGTCAGTTTTTTTCTGTTTCATTTCACTCTTATAAGTTCTTGCAACGTTCACCGTCTTCTGCCTACTACTTATGCTTTTTTGAAACGATCATATCATTTATGCGGGTTTTTTCTTCTACTGCATGAGAAAAGAGCCTACTTTCACTTTCGAGAATAGCTTGAATCTCTCTTATTCCGTTCAGGTACAGGATCCAATGAGTAGCGCTTGAAGAGTTGCTGTCATGAGAGTGTGTTACAGTATTCTGCCAAGGCAACAAAATGGTGCTATAGTACTTGCTTGATCACTATACTGTGAGATTAGAGATTGCGTTCCTTGAATGAACGCTGAGTAAAGAGGTTGTGTGATACATCGAGATGTTATCACAGTGGGAAGTGAGGTCTGTACTTCGTGGGTAGGGCTATCGTGCCCATACAATGAGCGGGTAACATAGGTTACCGAGGGCTCAGAGGAATGTAGAGGTCATTACCTCTCAGTGTTGTATTGAGACAGGCTTAGCGCCTTTATGGCTCAGCATTAGATGAATCTAGGTATGTCTATGCTTTCGTCGCTTCTACTACTTGGCTAACGGGGCCCATATTATCATTGATACAAAGAATGATCTATTTTTGTTACTTCATCTTCGTTCAACAGTTGTAGCTAAAATCATTCACATTTTAGCATATTTGAGCTTTTCTCACAGTGCGTAGTTCAGTGAAGCTATTTCAAAGCAACTGGACGATCGAATAGTCATTCTTGTGGTTAGGGATTTTCAACTCAAATATCTGAATATATTTCATTTCGCTTCCTATTTACGCTTATACATGCAAGTTTGTAATTCAGAGTTTTCACAACTTTGTGAAAGAACGAAATAAGCTGTCAGTACCTTGGTCGCGGATGAAAACGTTATTTGACGAATGGCTAGTGCAACGAAAACGGGAAACCGCTATTCCTGATTCGGAGTTGGTGATTTGTTCTTTTGACGGATCGTTTCTTCGTTACATGAATGGTGAATTTTAGCCATTTATTGAAGTCCCTGAAAAAATATCTGGCAGCATCGCTGAAAATAAATCAGATGTCTATGGAGACTTGCTTTAGGTATGTTTCCTGTCGAATTTCTTACCGCTTATGATACTTCGCTAAGAATATTCTTTGCCTAGAAATGTCCAGGATTACTTGGACCGGCCCGAAAGTGTCCTTATGTGTGCAGATTTTCCTGCAAAACCGCCTGCTTTGCACTTCTTCTATGCGAGAAAGCATGGATTAAATTTAGCTCCAGGAAAGACAAAGGTAGGCAAAGTATGAGGTCTCTGTGGTTCCCTACTTACAACGGGTCCTTTCAGGAACTGGCGGATCGAATGAAGGGGGATCCTGCTGGGCGACGGCAGTGTGAAGAGGAATTGGCTGAAATCGAGGTGGGGCAAGTTTTTTCAGCTTCTTCATGCTGGCAGTGATTTTCCTACATGTAAAATACAGACATTTATGATTTATGGCCACTTTTGATTTGCAATGCTTTTGTATTGGTCAATCTTCTTTGTCGCTTTTCTGTCATTAATCTCACTTCTCCACGTGCTTAAATTGATGATTTATATTTTGCGATCAATAACGTTTTATGTCTTTCGCAAGTATAGATTCGTCAGTATTTACTTTACCCCTGCATGCATGGCTCCTTTCCCTTGTAGGCTCACATGCTTCCGAACCCTTATGGAAGCTGCACATCATTTATTTGCCCGTTCCTCCATAAAATTAGGATCAGCTATGATTTTTCAGAATAGTGCCTTTCATGAATGCTTTCAGACTTTTTCATTTCTATCTCTATTTTTGTGAGAATTAGAAAAAGATCAAAAAAGATCACTCCTATCCACCAGCTCTCAACAAATGAAACAAAACCTTGGAAACACGTCGCACATCTCGCACATCACTTTTTATGGCAGTATTCTCACCTCAAATATTAATTTTTCAAAATGGATCTTTTCGGCAACGCAGCTGCCGCTCATCGAAAGGGGAGTATTGGTTTATGTATTGTAAACATTCACAACCCCAAGTATATCTTCTTCGTATTTGAATTTGTTTTTAGTTGTAATTCAGATGTAGATCTTTATCTAGTCTTGACCTCATTTATTGTTATTTGCGCTGTCCAAAGGTCTTGCGTTTAGTTTTTTACTTGTTTTCTTCTAGAAAACTTTCGTGGAGAAATTGGAAGAGTTTCTAAGCAATAATAGCGCTACCTTGCGGCCGAAGCAACGAGAATATGTTGAACACAAAATCAAGCTCACGCGGAAGAAGGTAAGATTGTCTTATTTTATCATTTGTCGTTTGTGAAAGTGATTTTCAGCTTTATCCAACGCAACGGACTATCAAGGCGAAAGCCTCTAAACCTACAAACGGTGCGACTAGAAGCACGATGACAGCATTTGATTTATTCTGCCAAACTAAAAAAGACAAGTGAATTTTCAAAATTCTCTGTTTATATCGTATCTGCACTTTGTTTTTATTATCTTCAGCTTCCCTTATTTTAGCGTATTGTTTTTTGTTTTTGTTCAGGTACACTGATTTACCTGAAGAACAACGATTGAAGAAACTTCAGAAAAAGTTTAATAAATTACCCGAAGACAAGAAGGAAATTTTCGAGAAACTCGCATTAGTTAAGTGATTCGTTACACGTCTCTATGTTTGTTATGTACAGTTAGAACATATGCATTAATTGTTGTCTTGTTGATTGTATTATATTGATTGGCGTGAATTATGGTTTTTCTTATGTTCTTCCAATGTTCAAATATGTTTTGTACCTCACTACTACGTTAATTTTGGATGACTCAATGTCAAGAGGTTGAGTCGATCTCTGTTATCGTTCTCAAGAGTTGTTCTTATCCAACAAGCATATAGTTACCTGTTTTAGTTCATGCGCTAGCTTACTGTTACAGAAATATTGTTGTTACATTTCCATCACTGCATCATATTGTGATAAATCCATGAACTTTTTTTTTCAGTGATGCCTTATCTGATGTTTATGCGCTTTTATATTGGTTCGGAGTCAGAAATCGGATTGTATAGTGCTTTCATAATAGTTTCTAGGCTCTTGCGAAGAGCTCAAATAGGAGAAGAGACAAGATGGCAAACGAAGCTGCAGCAGTTTCACCAGAAGAAGAGGTAAGCTTAACTTTACTTTAAAAAGTACTAGCTGGCATACCCAGCTCCGCCGTATGTTCCGAATAGAAAATTCCTTTTCTTAACCGATCCGAATCGAACTTGGCACACATACACTTCGGGCCCCGGCGGGTGTCACAGTCCACTTTTCGTTATCGATTGATGTCGATTTTTTGCAAAATTTGAGCTACGGGGCTGGGAGTTGGCACAGAGGGGTAATCGAACCCCCCGTGGGGGTGATCAGCATGCTCGATTACACCCCTCTGCCAACTCCCAGCCCCGTAGCTCAAATTTTGCAAAAATCGATAAAATCGATATCGATCGATACGAAAAGTAGCCTATGACACCCGCCGGGGCCCGAAGTGTATGTGTGCCAAGTTTGGTCCCGATCGGTTGAGAAATGGAGTTTTCTATTCGGAACATACGTACATACATACAGACAGACAAACAGACATTCAGCTTTATATATAAGACTAGCGACCCTACGGGTCGCTAGCAAGTGGGTCGGGGCAGATACATATAAGGGCTTAGGTTTGACTAAAAATATTTCTAAATAAGTTTCCTGTTCCTTTCCTGAGAATATTTTTGCGAAGAGCATTCCACAAAAGGAGAACTGCTCGAAAAAGCGATAATCTCCATCTCCACAAATCATTCAGCATTTCTCAAATTATTTTTATCTCGTTTACACGCTTTTCATGCAAATTTCCCTCCTCACAGAGACATTCAGATAACCCCCCCCCCCCACTTTTCTACCCTTTCGAAGGGAATTTGCTTTTTCAGTTCTTCTCAGCAAGTTCCATAAAAGATAGTTAAGTAAGTAGCAGAACATATGTTTTGGAAGTAGAAATACATCATAATAATTATGTGTATTATAAAAAAACTTTTCTCTCAGAATCAGTTCCGACAGCAATGAAATCAGTCGTCTAAGAACTTTGTCAAAGAATCCTTCAATTTTTTCGCCAAAGGAATATGAAGCTTTACTACATAAGTAGATCCTTCTCCGAAAAGCACACTACTGAGCCACCTAAAGACCGTCAGTTATAAGAACTGCATAAATGTACAAAAAATTTCTTTCCCTGTCCGATCAAATTGCCCTACGTGCCGTTTACAAACCAGTTATCTATTTGAAAGAAAGTTCATGCCCTATGTGCCGCTTGAAGACCGTTAAAAAATTACAAGAACTGCCATAACATGCAAAAATCTGTTTCCCTGCCCGATCGAGTTGCCCTACGTGCCGCTTACAGACCGAGAGTAACTATTCAAAATGAAAGTTTATTCCCTACGTGCCGCTTGAAGACCGGTAAGAAATTACAAGAACTGCCATAACATACAAAAATCTGTTTCCCTACCCGATCGGGTTGCCCTACGTTCCGCTTACAGACCGACAGTAACTATTCAAAAAAAAGTTCATACCTTACGTGCCGCTTGAAGACCGTTCAGGAATTATAAGAACTGCCCCAAACGTACAAAAATCTGTTTCCCTACCCGATCGGGTTGCCCTACGTTCCGCTTACAGACCGACAGTAACTATTCAAAAAAAGTTCATACCTTACGTGCCGCTTGAAGACCGTTCAGGAATTATAAGAACTGCCCCAAACGTACAAAAATCTGTTTCCCTACCCGATCGGGTTGCCCTACGTTCCGCTTACAGACCGACAGTAACTATTCAAAAAAAAGTTCATACCTTACGTGCCGCTTGAAGACCGTTCAGGAATTATAAGAACTGCCCCAAACGTACAAAAATCTGTTTCCCTGCCCGACCGGGTTGCCCTACGTGCCGCTTACAGACCGAGAGTAACTATTCAAAATGAAAGTTTATTCACTACGTGCCGCTTGTAGACCGGTAAAAAATTACAAGAACTGCCATAACATAAAAATTCTGTTTCCCTGCTCGATCGGGTTGCCCTACGTGCCGCTTACAGACCGAGGGTAACTACTCAGAAAGAAAGTTTATGCCCTAGGTGCCGCTTGAAGACCGTTTAAGAATTACAAGAACTGCCCCAAACATAAAAAATTTGAAAAAAATTTCCGCTTACAGACCGATAGTCAAAAAGAAAGTTTATGCCCTACGTGCCGCTTGAAGATCGTTTAGGAATTATGAGAACTGCCCCAAACGTACAAAAATCTGTTTACCTGCCCGATCGGGTTGCCCTACGTGCCGCTTACAGACCGACAGTAACTATTCAGAAAGAAAGTTTATGCCCTACGTGCCGCTTGAAAATCGTATATATAAATACGACTCTACAGAAAGAGAACAACGAAATCAAGTATTTACAGCGTATTCTCAAACTGCCGTGCATGCCACCTTGGACTTCCAATTCTGAGAACTGCCCCAAACGTACAAAAATCTGTTCCCTTCCCCGATGGAATTGCAATACGTGCCGCTTACACACCGATACCCACGAAAAAAAGCAAGGCTGTTGTTAGATAAACGCTTTTAAAAGTACCAGCGAGACTAAGGTATTCACGCACTCTCTTGTCTACACTCGGAAGCAAGATAATCCTAAAGTGACTGTTGTTAGAGCATTTTTACGAAGATTTGAGAATATAGATGAATTTAGCTCAAGTCACGCTTTCACGCAATTTGGCATTATTTCAAAAGCAACTAATAGGAGTAGAACATGTTTGAAAGACACATTCTGGGATAACAGGCTCGAAAAAAAAAGCAGGTACAGAACACCCGGACACTGGCGACCCACTCTCAAAATCATTGCGACACTCATGATTGCCTTTCGAAACCTGTGTGACCCTTTTACGAAAATCTGCTTGGTCACTCGTTATGAAATTTGGCAGCGTTCCAAAACGCATGCCACTTGGCAGCAATCCAATTCCAATGATCAGTGTATTTCATCATAATTTTTACGTCTGCGGCCTCCTCGTTTGCCATGATCCAACTATCAGCGGCTTAATGGGTAAACAACGAATTCGTTATATATTACGTAGTGATAACTACCAGGCAGTGGCGGTCTTATGATTTCCGTTCGGGAGATGACGAAATATCTTCTCGAATGAAGGCTATGCGGCGTGAGTCACGCAGTCTGAATTTTTTTTTGCTTCCCAAAAATTTTGCGTACTCATAGCCCCGAAATTTTGGAAGAAGGGGGCGTGGCTGCCATCGCCTCCTTCCCCCCCCCCCCCCCCCCCACCACGAAACAAGGCTATTTCGAATCTTTTAGAGTCATTTTGATTCTCTACAAGTATATGCAAGTTAATTGCACTTCTTTTTTTTGAACTTATTTAAGTAACTTTCAATATCGCGGACTTTTCGGGTGGGGGGGGGGGGGGGGAGGGGGAGACGCCCAAGAGTAAGTAAATTGCTCCTAATTTAGTAATTATGACGTCTCCCAAGTCGTTATCCAAACAAGCGAAGTGATTGTCTCCATTTGAGTATTCTCACTTCAATAAAGAAAAGTTGCCACATTGAACTAAGGGACCAGAAATGACGAAGTCTAGTCTCACAGACATCAGAATCTTTGAATTCTGTAGTTCCAACTCAAGTAAACCTCTGTAGGAATCGCCCAAGCATCGTCATGGCCTTCTAACACCATCAAATTCAATTTCTCTTCCTAATGTCACCTATGTCGATATCTCTTCAAGAGCCGAAGATATTCAAGCTGGGTTGATCGATACGTTTCTCAATCTCGAAAAGATCGACAAGAACCTGTTTCTGTAAGTCTTGTTTTTGCACAGTATTCTCAAATGAAAAGTGAGAGCTTCTGAATTTTAGCGCTCGCCACCTACTGAAAGGTAGGAACTCTCTTCCAGTTGTGTATGGCGGGCAGGTTATCGGCCAGGTGAGAACCAATGATATGCACTTTTTCACTTTCACTATTTTGGCTGATTTCCTACGGTGCACCTACAGTAATTCTGCAATAACCTTCGGTTTAATTCAGGCCCTTTCCGCTGCCACGGCCACCGTTGGCAGTGGATTCCTTCCGAACAGTCTTCACAGTTACTTCGTCCAAGGTGGCAATGTGAACATGCCGATACTTTACACGGTTGACCGCATTCGTGACGGTAAAAGCTTTTGCACTCGACTAGTGAAGGCGGTACAAAGTGGAGACGCAATCTTCACCGTGCAAATCTCTTTCCATAAGGTGAGATCAGTGTGTGGTTTTTTTCCAATTATTGCTGTCGTTATCCAGCCTGAGCCGGACTCAATCAAGCACCAAGTCGAAATGCCACAGGTTCCTGGGCCGGATGGTCTGCTAGATTGGAATCAGCTCATGGAACGAGCACAAAAGGTTAGATTTATTGAATACCATTTTTATACCAATATCATCAACAACATGCAACTCTATTTCACTTTTTTGTAATTAATTTACAAAATCAGTCCGCCTAGGATCCTCAACTTCATCCAGCTGCTGCAGCTATCATACGCTTCAAGCGCAAGGAAATTCCTCCAGCGTTCTTTAGAATCTTCACGGTAGTTATTATACGTTTCATGTTTACAGGACAGTGATAAAGTTTCAGTTCCGACCGGTGAATTTTAACAACTTTTTGTCCCCACCCAAGCAGAGAAACATGGAGCTAGAAAAGGACAGCTTCCGATCGTATGTATGGATTAGGGCTAACGAAAACATTGGTAAGTCATAAACTTATCTCTTTTTTTTCTCTTCTCTCGACTATGTGATTGCGATTGATGAGACATACAACCGTGAAGTATCATATTCTCCCAATATCTACTATTTTTCTTTGTGTGTGGTCATGACCACTGGTACTCTGGCTCATTCAAAGCGAGCCTACTCGTGCGGCTCGGAAACCGCGGCAGCCTTGCCTGGACGCTGCGCCGCGTTCGAGAGCGTGTTATCAAATTGTTTTTCCTGCCTGAGCGTTGGAAAGGGAACGGAAGCGAGCTTCAGTTGTTTATTAGGCCAGAGAATAGTCAGAGAACAATGCGAACGCGTTGCGAGCTCAAGCGAGGCGTCCGCGCATAATTTAACCCGCTGGAGTCGGCTCACTCCAAATAAGACAGAGGATAGTTCTATCGGCATTCAGGTTATTATTTGTATACATGCTATTGAGGTGACGATCCACGACTTCATGTTGCTGCTGCGGCGTATATATCTGATGCCACTATGATTGAAACGGCACTAAGACCACATAGCAGGTAATCCTTCTTTTCCGATTTATTGCTGTGCGCCGCACAGGCATTTAAGCAATTGACTTTTAAAACATGCAGACTTGCCATTTTTACTTGAATAGTGCTTCTGATTGTGAGTTGGATGTGGCTCATAAATTCAGCGCTTGTCTCCGCTGTTTCTTTTTTTGCTTTTAGTTATGGTGCTAAGTGAAAAATGCGCCTCAGGGGTTGAAAAATTGTCGAAATCGTCGTTCTCTATATTAGAAATGCTGAACAGGTAATGTCGTAGCGAAGCACCCAATTGCCACTCAAATAAGGAGCTATCGTCCTTGGCGATTGATTTGCTGCCTCCGACGTCTTTATATCCAACATTTTCATGGGAAGAGGGGATTTCAGTACTTTGCAAGTCTTTGCAAGTTGTAATTTGGACTAACTGACACAATTTTAGACTTGTAAGCTTCAGAATATCCTTATTAAAGAGAAAACTAATTTCACTCCGCTTTAATCTTATCTTTTTTGCCCATATATCAATCCTACCCTTAATCAATCACTTGTTTTTTTATGATCTATGTCGCCTGTTCAACTGGAGGTTTTTTAGAAAAGGCTTTATTCCTTCGATGGCCCTAACCTTGGACCATTCGATCTGGATGCATAATGGACAATTCAGAGTTGATGAATGGCTTCTCTATGAAAATCACTCGACCATAGCAAGTAAGTGAGCTTTCGAGATTACTTTTGACAAATCCAAAGTCTGGTTCAGGTGGTGGTCGCACTTTGATCGAGGGTAAACTCTGGACTCTTGATGGTCGCCTGGTATTCTCCACCGCTCAGGAAGCTCTCATCCGTGCTCCAAAGGAAAAATCAGCAGAGAATGGGACCAAGTAACCGTAGCTTTCGCTAAGTTTTGCTTGCTTCGTATCAGTATTTTCCGATCTCCTCTAGTCCCTTTATCGCACTTCTGGTCAAGATGGTTGTTACTTTATTTACACTGAGCTTATGCTTTAGCATCTCTTGATTAGCGCAATTTGACCGAATGACATTTTTCATGGCATAATGGATAGGGTTATACATTGCAATCAGAATCTTAAGTATATGGGAATTGAAATTCACTTTAGATGTGTTGACATACTGTATTGTGAGCTTATGATTAGTGCTAGGTATAATTTGGTTCATGGAGGTTTTCGCTACTAGGCCACTATTATTCCCTCACTTCTTTCGATATGGTGAGATTTTTTTTCAAAAACGCTTTCTGTTCACCAAGGGAGCGAATGGTTAGCTAGTAAACTTTCAAAAAGATCTATTGGAAAACAGTTGGGGTGCAATTGCACACATCATTCCTGTAATATACCTTAACTAATCGGGATTGGGGCGTGGAAGGCGACCGCTCGCACCTGCGCCGCAGTCTGCGTCTCTCGCGAGCGCGCTTTTTAATCATACCCTAGCCTTGATTAGGCCTCGAGCCCCCTTTCCATTCTCCAGTCCGAATTAAAGGGTACAGTTCGTGTCAACCACGTGCTCCCTTCTCCGTAGCAAGTACGCATCCGCAGCGCGGGACGTTAGCGTTGCACTAGAGCTGTCGGAAAGGAAGCACACCATTGACACAAACTGTACTTACAACTTACCTAACTTACTCAGCTTACTTACTTACTTACTTGTTAGATTAACAGTAATGGACGTAGCGATGATTCAAGCGGAAACCTTCTGAATCACTCCGCTTCACCTGTTATAGGTATCTTCACCACTATTGAACACTTAAAATGCCAGTAGTCGGCCTATTTAGGTCGTATTTAATAATTAATGTGTGTAGCCGTAATTCAATAAATGATTCATAGATATACACTGTAATGCAGTAGAATACAAAGTAAAGGGTTGAAAGAGTAGATACTGCAATCATCATTCCATTATTTTTTTCCGAAGAAGTGCACTAGTGATTGAAGACAAAATACATATCGGGAGCTTCTCGTAGTGAGTGGAAGAAATTCTCATGAGCGTTGTACAGCTTAACAGATTCGACGGTATGTAGTGCCACTGCGGTGACTACAATATTTGCTCGGAAGCAGACTCATGCTTCTGAATGCCGACAAACTGCTTGCAACTTGCACGTAAAAAGTGACCATAGAGCACACATTGCCATAGTTTACGCGCAAAGATTATTGGAAACGCGGAGTCTTGAAATCGGTCGTCAAATCTTTTAAGCTATATTTGTATGGGTACAATTACAATCGGGTAATATACAGTACATTAATAGATGAATGCACAGCCTGATTAATTCCTAAATCTACAAAAGATTATTATTATTGTTTGCAGCAGAGAGCAGTGCAGATAATAGACGCATATAGTCGCCACTGCAGGTCTGTTGAATGTCCAATTCGAGTGAGCGATTGTATTTACGTCGATATTCTTCGGCAATATCGTAGAGATCGATCTGAAATATTGAACAGTTCAATTACTGCCAGGCATGGATTTTTATCGTTTTTTCGCATCATGTAAGCGGTTCACGCAGAAATATATCACTTACTAGTTGGCATACCCGGCTCCGCCCGGGCCTGTCAATAATATATTTGTAATCAGCGTACTCGATTACCCCCCTGTGCCAACTCCCAGTCCTGTAGCTCAAATTTTGCAAAAAAACGATAAAATCGATATCGATCGATAACGAAAAGTAGCCTATGACACGCTCCCTGCCCCGAACTTATGTGTGCCAAGTTTGGTCCAAATCGGTTCAGAAATAAAAATTTCTATTTCGCACATACGTACAGACATACAGACAGACATACAGACATTCAGCTTTACATATAAGATGCATGTGGGCGGGGCTTGCACTAAGGGCGGAGTTTGCCATTTCCTCTTTACATCAAATTTACCAGTAAGTTCTTCTGTCTCTAATGATAGGTGTGGGAGGAATATACAAACAGAGGTGACATTTCTGAAAGTGGACTGCATTAGTTACAGAATGAGATCCGCTGGAACTTCTTGTAAAAATCCACAGTGGTTTTGCAAATTTTTTCGGGGAGGGGGGGGGGGGGAAGAAGTCGGGTGGGGCATCCCAAAAAGTTCGGACGAAGGTCTAGAGCTTACTTCTATCTTGTGATCTTGGATATAAAAAAGTTATTCCCCAGCTAAAACCGCTCAGACTTTAGCGCTAGCGTGCGTGTATGTTGATAAATTGATCATCTGCACCCTTGGACACGAAAATAGCTGGTTTTGGCTTGATAAACAACATTGGACAAGCGACCTGTCTATCTGGTTCTGTCACTCCCCCCCCCCCTCCTTCTAAAAAAAATTTTTTTGGCTGGGCTCTGCTCTTACCTTGACTTTGGAATTACCGAAATTCAGCGAAATTGGTTGGAAATAGTGAATGTTTATATGCACTTCATTTACGGGATCTACTAGAGAATAGCAGATGTGGAAGTTAGTATAGAGTCCCTACAGCTTCTGCGCAGAAACATCAACTACTTAATTTGCGCGAAAACAAATGTTATTTTGCGAGTGCCGACAATTTGCTTGCGATTTGCGCATAAAAAGTGGTCGTGGCGCGCACTGCGGTCTTTATGCGTAATTGTTGTCCACAACGCAAGAAACCGCAATAACTGTCAAATTTAGCAAGCTATACACAGATTTTTCGGACGACTTTCCTGTGCGTGATTCCCAATAAGCTCTATTTTGCGCCATTTCGCTCCAAATCAGCTTTTTGCTTACCTCACTACGGCTGACGGCAATGCGTATAATCGTCTGATGATCCGGCCTTTCACCAGTCATCGCTGCTCGCAACAACTCGGCAAAGTAGAGCTGCATATTTTTCGAGACACGAACTGGAAAGAGAAGGTAGTATAGGTTACGGTAGGGATACGGTAGCAGTGTTCGATGAACTCACTGATGGTCAGGAAAATCATTCGAACTTCCGAATGAAGGGATTTGTTTTTTCTTATCAAAGTTTCAATGTCTTTCTCGTCTCGTCGCATTTCGTCGACCTGGAATTCAGAATCTTGCAGGTTTTCTTTATTGTTGATGAGGGATCTTCCTCAAATTGAATTTTTAGCTGCATCAAAGAATTCCAGATTTCCTTATGAATTTTTGATATAATTGTTCTTTTTGCAGCTTTGCTGATTGCGTAAGAATGTGAAATTAGAAATTAGGCAAATTCTGATACTTTCATCGCAGCTGCCAAAATATTCACGATTTTGGGGAGAGGGAGGAAGATTGTGTACGCTTATATGGTTTCTTTTCTCAAACGTGAATGATAGCTCCTTTTCTGGAAGTAAAAATCGTTATTACTAGATTTTGAAAAAAGCAATACGCATGAGTATAATCCCACGGAAAGCTTTTCGATATTTTGCAAAGGATTTAGGGCTTAGCTATCTCCATTGCGTTAGAGTATGTATAGGTGGATATGTAATCTGTAATCTACTCACCCGATCAAACACTGCTGCAAGATGTTTCCATGAATTTCCAACAAACACTTGTTCGAAAAGGGTTAGGTTCCTTCCGATTTCGTCAAGGGAGTTCTGTAAATTTGCAATTAGGCGAAATATATCAAGATCTGAAAATTGTTAAGAAATTAACTCCAAAAACGCAAAGGTTGCAAAAGGCGTTGAAATCGCGGCGGCGCGATTTCCTTTTGAGTGGCAGAAATAGCGCTTGGAGAGAAGATACGCAGACAGCTAGAGCAGCGCGCCGCAATGACTGCAGACTGCGCATTGTTCTCGCCGGAGATTACTGTATGTACTAAAAGCAAAACTCACGCTAAGTAGCATTTGTGCATGCTTTTCTACCAGACTGTCATCGACTCTCATTCCGTCGTCATTTCTAGATTTGCATAAAAGCATAGTAAGCATCTTTCCGACAACGCCTTCCACCTAAAGGCCTTTGCATTGTTTTTTGGTATTGCACAAAGAATTTTCTAAAAATTTACCTTCACTGCAATATCTTTTTCTATTGTTTTCTTGTAATCGTTTTGATAGGTTTCGCGGATGATTCGGAGTTGCTAAAAATGAATTATTAAAAATGAATTATATTTTATACTTTCTTTGAAATCTAAGCGAAAAAAAATATTGGTTTTTGGGTCAAATAAGGGTTAACTTAAGACAAAATTCATTTATTCCATTTTCTCCCAACATGCGTTATTCTGTGGGAAGATCTTTTTATCTTGTAGAGTAAGCTAAAGACACAATTTTGTATTGTTTCGACTTATCTATAATACGACAAAGGGAGTGGGCATACTGTAAGATCACTGTAAAGGAACTGTATCTTACAAAAAATACCTACCCGTGCTGATCTAGTGCAGGCGATCTCGATAGCAACAGAACGATCAGCGTAGCGATTCTGGAAATTTCCACAATTTCGAAAAACAAGGAATTATAACTTGAGGACTATAATCTAATGTTCTTGCGTTGCCAACAATATTTGCGCGTAAACAATGAAAATTTGCGCTCGATGGCCGTATTTTGCGCGCATTTCGCATGCAGATCATCGTCGTCCATAAGCATGGCATTTGTTTCCGCGCAAGTGTTGTAATCACCGCAAACACATAAGATTTTGTGAATTAAATTCTAAACTTACTGATAAAGATCGATGCAAGCACATGGTATCATACTGTGGGGCCGGTTTCAATAGAGCCTGGGTCATTTCCAGAAAATATCCTCCAGCCTCTTCTTCAAGATCATCGACCAACTTCTGAAAATAGAGTGTTTATACTTCAGACAGATCTCCCGACCTTTGAAACGATTATCCACTGACTCTGCCATACATATCTTCATAAGCGCCAAGGATTTTCTGACGTTGAAAGTTATTATGATAGAGAAGGGTGTTGATCACGATTTGATCTTTGGTTTCTGGAAAAAATATTTTCTTAAAGAATTATTTTGGTAAGAGTTCATGCGGTTTGACTTACCCATTCCACTCAGGGCCTTCCGCAAAGTCTCGCTAGCTTGTGCGGGGTGGAAGTCTGGACTGTCTGGACCGTAAATGGTCCCGCGAAGATCTTCATACTAAAATTTTACGTAAAATTGCACAAAAACCGAGTTGCACCGAAGTATAGGCAAGGCTTACTTGACTTTCATACATTTGATACATCATTGGCATAAGCCGACGTTTATGACTTGATTCGGAATCTATTGATGAGCCGGTGCTCAGGTTCTGCAACATATTGAGAATGGAATACGGTAGCCGCAAATATACGTAATATATGAACTGAAAAGTAACCGCCACTTGTTGTGAAAGCAGGTGACACTTGTGAGATATGGTGTAATTATACGTCGCGTGCGGTCTCCAAATCGAGCCATAAGTTATTAGCTTTTGCGGAAGAGGGGAGCAAGATACGTGACCAATATCTATTCATATTTGGAGTCTGAGAGGCGCGGAAATAGGTAGCGCGCATATGACGTGGCAACTAATCGATATATCGATTGACTGATGAGCAAGTGCGCTCGCAAGGCGCACTTGGGGCTGAATGGGGGCTTTCTTCTTATACTCTTGTAATCCGTAGTTCTTTCTTGGTGGGGTTCTCCATTACGGGAAATTAATATTGATCTATACGTCACTAGAAGAAGGTGGAGGGCGAGGGGGGGGGATCAAGAAGTGCGTCAGAGGTGGTCTATTATAGACCTTCAAATGCCATGATTGACGCAAGCAAGGTTTTTCGAGAACATAAATTATTTGGGAATATTCGAGATATTCCTGAGGTTTTATAGAAAAATTTTCTGAATGTGGCATGAAATTTTAGCAAAAAATTGGATGGAAACATCACAAAAAGCAAAAAATTGGCAAAAATTGACAAGTCTACACTAGTAAGGCGACTTTAGCCTTTTGGTGCAATTGCAGACATGTAAAAGTCTGCAGTTACGTCCTACACCCAAAACAGTGATTTTTTGGCGAGACTAAAAGTAGCAAATAGTGCAATAAGCAAAATAAGTGCACCTGAGCCACTGGATTAGTATATAAAACTATTTTCAGCTGCAGACACCTAAGATCAACTTTTCTCCCCCGCTTGCAGATCAGTTGTCCGGTGGCAGGATTAGAAGCTTAGACAACCCTTGATCGTCCAAGCTTTTCGTCTATAGTGCTCAATTTGCGATCTCTGATAAAAGAGGATACCGCTCATAGCAAAGATCACGGCCATTACTTGCTTATTTTGTAGCTGACACAATAAGGTTAGGAATAGGATGGGTCCCGCAGTGAATTCAAATCATTTCTAAAACGATCTATCCAGTACGGCAAACTTAAGTGATCATGTAAATTCATTTTGTTCAGTCATTTTTTACTTATATTTTCTTCACATTATTGGACAAATTCTATAAATTATCCAAAAAACAGGAAAATTCCCATGAGCCGATACACACATGAGCAAAATCTCAGATCTTGATTTCACAAAATAAAGAACTCCTGCGCAAAATTTAGCATGCGGTTAGACTGGGAAATCTGAAAACAGCTAGGAACTTCAACCAGGAAGAAATTCAGCAAATTAAACTATCGCTTCCGGTGACAAGGGAAGGGTACTCGGTCGAAGTGGCCATTTGGAATGAGCTGTATATTAGGAAACCATCCTCCGTAAGGCAAACTCAAAACTACTTTCGCTAGGTGCCGAGCGGTTTTAGGGGGAGTTACAAGGCCGTTGTCGCGGCTCCGCGATGCGAGCGCTCCTAGAAGTAGAAGGCCGGGAGCACTGGTTGCTGCCGCGCTACACGGCGACGATAACGGCACGTTCTTACGTTCGCCGCAATCGCCGCTGGACCTCTCCTCGTTTTGGCGCGTTGCCAGCCAAAAGGCTATATATAGGGGCGGCGCCTCATTGCAGCGTCTGTTCGCTTTCGTCTTCGATCAATAATATTTTCATATGTTTTCCATCGTGCTCGTGCTGGCAATTAGCTCCCGCCTTTGATATCTCTTTCGTGTTAGCGGTCGAGCGGATCGAAAGTTATATGAGATCCAAGTGTGATTTCGGATTGTTTTCGGACGCGCCACTTTTGGAGTTAGTTTTTGAGATTTGGGATATTTAGACCTTTCGAATTCTGAAAGCGGAGAGGTGTCGCGCCTGGTATCCGGCGACGCGTGGCGGATCTGTTTAGGTGAAGCCTCGGGAGCATCGTTGTTGTTAGAGATTGTAGACGCGCAACATCAGTAGCACGGGCGGGGCACCCTGTCCCGTGTTGGGGTTGTTTTTTCTTACTTTGTTGTAGTTTAGTATCGTAGCGTAGCGCCTCTTTGTTTCTTTTTATGTCATAAGGATAAATGTTAGTACTTTACTAATGTTTCTTCACGCGCTGTGGCAAAATAGTAGGCTAGGTCGCGTCGTATGTTTTAAGCGGGCGAGCGTGCGGATGTCTCGGGTAAATCTAGGTGCTTAGAGCCCACCGAGCCGCCACATGGTGCATCGTCGCCGAGCGCATGGTGGATGCGGTTTTCCGTCCGCGTGTAGTGTTGGGTAGCCGCGTTGCTAAGCCGCGATGGGTAGGTAACATCTCAGCAGGTTTTCGCGCAGTAGTAGCGCAGTTCTAGCTTCCCATCCTCCATGCGTGCGTAACGATCCCGTAGTCTACCACGCTCCGCACCTAGTTCAAGTCCAGGCAAGTAGAGGGATAGGGCATGCGTTCAGTCGCGTCATCCATGTGTCAGGTAACCCATTAGCACTGCAGCCTTAAGCGTAGTCAGCGCGTGGGGTGACCTAGCAGTAGTTGGTGGCAGCAGCTTACAGCTATAAGCCCCTGAGCTCAGCGCGTTGTCTTGCGCAAGGATGGGTATGACAGTAGACTCTTAGAAGCCTATCTGCGAGTACGATATGGACTAGCTGTACGGAGACTCATCGCCGGGGGGCAATCGCCTGGGGGCATCGCCGGGGGGCACCAGGAGTCGCAGCGATTGCCATGTCGTCCTTCCAGGTAGTCTTTTCTGGTATGCAGCTGTTTGCTTTGCTTTTGCGTTATTCGCGCATTGCTACGGCGTGCGATTCTGCCCTTGCTTGACAACCCTATCTGACTCTTGCCTTTGCGCCTGCTACGAAGCCTAGCGTGTTGATTGGTAGTGTGTCCCTCTTTAGGGTTTTCAGATTAGGTTCTTCATGTATACGTATTTATTCATTTCATGTACTCGTTATATCTATGTATATTACCTTGCGCCTGTCTTTTGCATTGCAGAAATGTCGCTCCTTGGATCCCACAAGGCTCAGCTCACCAAAGCGGCCAATATTCTACGCAAGAAGATCGCGGAAGTGGAACAGACCAACCTGGAAAGCGAAAGCCTTACCTTCGATGCAGGCAAGGATTACGATTTCGTCATCAGTCGTAGAACTTTGCTTTCCGACTTTATTTCCTCTATTAGTTGCACTGCTTCTTACTTACGTGCTCAGCTGGAGAAAGCTGAGGAGTTTGCTCGTTCGAGGCCTGACGAGCAGGGAGAATTTCCCTTCCTCGTTGAGATCTACGCGCATTGGGAAGCCAATGAAATGGCGGATCTCTTGGTGGAAGCGGATATTCTGCTTGAACGTTTGGACAACAAGATCAAACTCCTCCCAAACGCGGATATGCTGTACGAGCGCCATCTTTCGTCGATTGCTTCCACCCAGCTTACCCTTAATCCCGCATCGTCCCCCTCTTCTTCAGATACCGTTCAACCCCAAGTCCCAGTTCAATCCGCGCAGGTTTCTCTTCCCCAGGATCGTCCATCGGATCCTTCTTCAGTTGTGCCGGTTGACCACCACCCCCTCGCAAATGACGCAGGGACCCCTCAGCAGGGAGACCAGTGTCCGCGAGCCCCATCTGGATTTGGCAATCCCCTTCCTACCCGTTCTCCTGCTCAGACGAGCATGCACCCTTTCGGATCCCAAACCCCTCTGCCGAATCCAGCTCCAAACCCTTCATTTGCATCGACGAGCGGTCCATCTTCGTCTACCTCGTATAGCCTGCCTTCCTTCGAGATACCGTTCTTTTCCGGTGACATGGACGCGTTTCATGAATTCTGGAACATCTTCGCCGCGTCAGTACACAATAACAGCAGTGTACCTGTACCTGTTAAGTTCATGTATCTGAAGACGCACTTGAAAGGAGACGCAGCTAACATCATTGCGAACTTCCAGCCCACTGAGGAGAATTATGAAGATGCAGTGCGTACCATTATCAGCACCTACGATCGACCAGAACATCTGCGAATGCGTCTCTGGGACAAGCTCAACAAGCAAGCGCCCGCAAAGGATTCTGCGGCTTCACAGCGCGCTACGCTTGGTTCCATCAGAGCTATCTGGTCCCAGATGAAGCGCTTGAAGGAAGAATCGTCGATAGGTGCACTGAATATGATTCGATCGAAGTTTCCCCGACGTACGCGCGAGAAGGTTGGCGAGATGAAGAAGAAAGAAGATCAGATGTGGACGGTTGACGATCTACTGACAGCATTCGATACAGTCATCGACAGGCTGCAAGTAGTTGAAGACGCCGATCCTACTCCTTATGCCATCTACAATTCCGACTCTACTGTCCGCCAAACCTCCTCTTCGCCGCGCAGGTACTCTAGTGACAGGCCGCAGCAGGTTATGTCTTCGCAGTGCCAACCATCGATTTGTCCCACCTGCTCGCGTCCTTTGTGTTCGCCATCGGAGTATCGCACGGCTAGAAGCAGATCACCAACACCATACTACCCGCGACGCTCATCTCGTAGTCCAGCACGACCGCAACGCCGCGCTTACCAGAGTTACTGCTGTGCCTTTTGTCTAATCGAAGGACATCGACCGGAGGACTGTTTGGAGGTCCCTTATCCTACACAGCGGAGAACCATCGTTAAGCAAGAAGGTCTGTGTTGGTTGTGTTTAGACGACGGTCACTTTGCCAGTGTCTGTTCAGCACCTCCGTGCGCATACTGCAGCAGAACCCACCATCCAGCATTGTGCCTCAACAGACCGCGAGCGTCCAAAGCTTTTACCCCAACGACAAGTTTCCATCGTCGACCCATTTCGCCCAAGCGCGTACAGTTCGACATTGAAGCTCAAGCCTCTTCGGATCGTGCGCTTCAGAGATCACGCTCGTCTTCACCACGCGCTAGTACCCGTAAGTCGCCCTCACCACCCAGGCGCCAGAGCTCACCGGTTGCAGACGCGCAAAAGAGCATCCAGGATAGTCAGAATGAGCATTAGCGTAGGAACCATCTTCTCCCTTTTCAAAAGT